GAACTGATCCATGTTAGCTAGGGGCATTGACTCTGAATAAGCATGTGATCGGGAGGCAACCCCAGGCAGTCTATGCACTGTGGATTGGCGTCAGGCCAAAAATACATGGTAGGTCATGTAGTTGGCAAGGAGTGATAGTCCCATTCTGTAAGTGGCAATTATTATGGTCCTGAATCTCCTCTCGTACCTCATTCCTCCCTGTGCTGTAAGGTTAAATGCAAGTTCATCTTCCTCCACAAAAGCTTCTCTGACGTTTGCAGTCCGTGAATACTATTGTTTTGCTGGAACTAAAAAGCACAGTTATTTGACTCGTTTATCAACTAATCATGTTCCACCACGTAAAATTATATTGTATTTTCTTGCATCTTTGTTCAACTTCTAAGTGTGTGCATGCCATGTCAAAAGCTAGATTACAGAATAATTTGTGATTAATTTTTGTAATTTTGTTATTTTATATGGTATAGTTTGTGACACAGAGATAATGTAAGGAGGGAGTCAGACCCATTTCCTGAAGCATGACAATCTTCTGGCTTTTTCTTCCCTCTTAGATTCATAGAACTACAAATACTGCCAGTCATTGTGCAGGAATAAACAATGCTACTAAACTTGTCAGCTTTTTGATCCTTCTCAGATCTTTGTTTTTACCCCTGTTCTTGGAAAAAAGAAGGCTTATCAAGGCTTTTATTTTTCTTTGCAGTGTTATATTTGCTGTGCCAAGGATAGATTATTGAAATAAAATCATGTATTTTAGAACTCAGAAAATCATATAATTGTAAAAGAATTTTATAATTTTCATCTTTGGACTTGATACTATATATTGAAGATATTTAACTAGATTTGCTCAAGGTTTAACCTTTTGTGACACTGTCACCTATGATATTGCAAAAAGCATAGTAGACTTTAAGCAAGATTTTAAAATGTGCTGATCTATCTTCTTGACTCTGTTTTCATTTTTCCAGGAAACCACAGTATCCTCCAAGTTTATCTTGTATTTAGGTAACCAGTAGCTTCAATTTCTTCCCTCTGATTATCAAGGTGTCTGGGGAAGAATTTTGCTTTAATTACTTAACTATCTTAGAATATTTTAACTTAATCTGTTTTTTTCCCAAGAGAATTAACAATTTTATCTGATTCTACCAGTGAAATGACAGAGTTTATCACTCTTGGAGGAGCTTCGCACGAGCAAGATTGGAAGGGAAGAGAGAATAAGATAGAGTGATGGTGGTGGTGATAAACCTTAAATGGGGAGGGGGAACCATACAACTTTGGCATCAATCTCCTCTAGCAACATATTTGGCTTAAAGACTAGAAGCAGCAGTATCTTCAACCAAAAAGTCCTGAGAAGACATTTAGTGCCATCCAAACACAGCACTAGTCGCTGCTACACCATCCCTCAGGGCAGACTTTTTCTAAGAATAATTTCACATCAATAGTGGAGATACCTGTATCGAGGAAGGCTGGTTGTGGATGGTTGCTAGGCACTTCTTCCTGAGCAGTGATTATACTTTCTATGGATATTACAAAAGGAAAAGAGTACATTTGTAGTCAGCAAGCATCCACCCTGAGAGTCTCACTCGGTGAAGAAAGGATGATGTTATAAGAGGAAAGTTTTAGTGCAGAAATATGTATTGGCAGCTCTCAAAATACCTGCGCTCAAAAACCATTCACTAATTAAAGAAATAGATATCCACCACCCGTAATACGTTTATTAGGATTTAGCATCAGTAGGGTTCAAATTTTAGAAAATTCTGGTGTAAAAACATTGTAAATCTTCCAAATGATGTAATAATTCTGGCTGGCTAACTACATGATTTTTTTTTCCATCGTTATTTACCCAAAGGCTTGAAACCTTTTAGTTTTACCATGTGCTAAAATGACAATGTAAAATTTTAAAAGTTTTGTTCAAATTGCATCATTTTCTTACATGTAGAAAAATGATTAGAATTATGTAGCAATTTTATTGGACTAGCCTGTTGTTGACATTTGATTTGGATCATCTCAGAACTCCTGAAGAATACAGTGCTTTCTGAACTGTGGAAGTGGAGGAATATTCCTCCCTATCACCTAATAGAAGAGAATGTTTCTAATTCAGGGACATCTTCATAAGCCTTTCCCTACATAGAATATGACAAATCCATTTCTATAAGCCAAATAAGTTGTACCAAATGGCAAATAATTTTGCTACCCTGGAGAGCAGAAACTGCACCAAGTGTTTAGTGGATGATGGTGTAATTCAGAAGCATGTGGCAGTAGTTTTAGTGTCAACACTGTATTTAATATTAACCCTTGGCATCTATCACCCGTAGTTATTGTAACAACGGAAGAAATTAAGACTGAGACAGATGTTTAGGGCACTGGGAGAAATGGCAAGGGATGTTCCTTCAGGAGAAACGTGAGCAGAATAACCAGAGTTATGCCTCTGAATAGCTCTTCCTCTTTTTCAAATGCCTAGAAAATATCCAGCAGATTTGCCAAACACAGCAGATTTGCCACTGAAGAACAGAGGGCTCAGTATTTCAAAACAGAAGATTTTAAAACATGGCTATTGAAATGATTTCAAATCAATGTTTTTAAAGGTTGTTATTTTGTTGTTAGTGTTTTTAATTAAAAAGGGAATATTTTGTATTCATATAATACAAAGTTCATCCTGCAGGATTAGATGAACAATATCCCCCTAGGTCTTTGTCTTCCATTACTTATATATAATTTCAGTCTCCCTCTACACACCTGCATCATCTTGGACATACTTTTCTGTTCCCTGTGACTTGTCTTCCTAGCATCATACTCCTGATCTGAAGGGACACTGGTTTGAAAAAAAAAAACAAAAGCTATAACTCTTTTCAGTTCTACTGTTGCCTTGGCAATGGCCATCCATGGTGGGTATCACACACGTTTTGCTCTATATTACCTGACACGAGAGCTTCCCTGGTGGCTCAAATGGTAAAGAATCTGCTTGCAATGCAGGAGACCCGGGTTCGATCCCTGGGTCGGGAAGATCCTCTAGAGAAGGAAATGGCAACCCATCCCAGGATTCTTGCCTGGAGAATCCCTTGGACAGGGGAGCCTGGTGCAGTCTATGGGGTCACAAAAAATCTGGACACGACTGAGCAGCTAACCCTTTCACCTGACATGATGTAAAAAGATAGGCACTAAGTGAAGTCATGGAAGAGTTCTTAGTTCTGAGGCTGCTCTGAACTGGTTAACTCAGAATTTCACAGAATAGAGGCATTTCAACTTCATAACTTTGAAAGCTAAATTTACATTGTTTTGAATGAAGCCAAAAGAAAACAATTTTCATCATAAATGCTTATTTTTCCCTTAACACAGGCCCATCATCACGACCATCACTATGACCGATGGGGACTATGATTATCTGATCAAACTCCTGGCCCTTGGAGATTCAGGGGTAGGGAAGACAACATTTCTTTATCGATACACAGACAATAAATTCAACCCCAAGTTCATCACGACAGTAGGGATAGACTTTCGGGAAAAACGTGTGGTAAGTTTTTAACCATACTGTTAACCGGTTGCTGATCCTCCTATATATAAAATAAGAATTAAGAAACTATGTTTATTGCATTGCAAGGTGTCTGTCTTTTATCACATGAAATTCATAACCTGTCACTTTGATCCAATTTGAATATTATATTTTACGGTCTCAACTCTAAATAACATTTTGCTTAGGAAAAAATCCAGCGGCACTTGTCTCCAGAAGCACACAGAGCAACTAAAATAAATTATCTATGGGTTTATATAGTGTGTTTTCTATGGATTCTTAAGGAATCTTTCCAAACATGAATTCGTTATCTAAAACCATTAAGTCCTGATCTAAGTTTCTCAGTAAAAACAAAGTGTTCATTTCCGCGTGCTTAAGAAGGAGGTAAAAGAATGACTGGCAAATTGCTGGAACATGAGCTTTGTGAGTTCCTGCTACATTTTTATTTATGTGTAGACTCAGCTATCAATCACTAGCTTCTTATGAACAGAATGTGAGACCAACCCATGCTATTTTTCAAGATAAGAGAGTTAAAGTGAGAATCACAACCACTTCCTTCCGCTGTGCTAGACGCTAATGACAGGAATAAGGATATTGTGACATTGTTTAGGGCACTGGGAGAAATGGCAAGGGATGTTCCTTCAGGAGAAACGTGAGCAGAATAACCAGAGTTATGCCTCTGAATAGCTCTTCCTCTTTTTCAAATGCCTAGAAAATATCCAGCAGATTTGCCAAACACAGCAGATTTGCCACTGAAGAACAGAGGGCTCAGTATTTCAAAACAGAAGATTTTAAAACATGGCTATTGAAATGATTTCAAATCAATGTTTTTAAAGGTTGTTATTTTGTTGTTAGTGTTTTTAATTAAAAAGGGAATATTTTGTATTCATATAATACAAAGTTCATCCTGCAGGATTAGATGAACAATATCCCCCTAGGTCTTTGTCTTCCATTACTTATATATAATTTCAGTCTCCCTCTACACACCTGCATCATCTTGGACATACTTTTCTGTTCCCTGTGACTTGTCTTCCTAGCATCATACTCCTGATCTGAAGGGACACTGGTTTGAAAAAAAAAAACAAAAGCTATAACTCTTTTCAGTTCTACTGTTGCCTTGGCAATGGCCATCCATGGTGGGTATCACACACTTTTTGCTCTATATTACCTGACACGAGAGCTTCCCTGGTGGCTCAAATGGTAAAGAATCTGCTTGCAATGCAGGAGACCCGGGTTCGATCCCTGGGTCGGGAAGATCCCCTAGAGAAGGAAATGGCAACCCATCCCAGGATTCTTGCCTGGAGAATCCCATGGACAGGGGAGCCTGGTGCAGTTTATGGGGTCACAAAAAATCTGGACACGACTGAGCAGCTAACCCTTTCACCTGACATGTTGTAAAAAGATAGGCACTAAGTGAAGTCATGGAAGAGTTCTTAGTTCTGAGGCTGCTCTGAACTGGTTAACTCAGAATTTCACAGAATAGAGGCATTTCAACTTCATAACTTTGAAAGCTAAATTTACATTGTTTTGAATGAAGCCAAAAGAAAACAATTTTCATCATAAATGCTTATTTTTCCCTTAACACAGGCCCATCATCACGACCATCACTATGACCGATGGGGACTATGATTATCTGATCAAACTCCTGGCCCTTGGAGATTCAGGGGTAGGGAAGACAACATTTCTTTATCGATACACAGACAATAAATTCAACCCCAAGTTCATCACGACAGTAGGGATAGACTTTCGGGAAAAACGTGTGGTAAGTTTTTAACCATACTGTTAACCGGTTGCTGATCCTCCTATATATAAAATAAGAATTAAGAAACTATGTTTATTGCATTGCAAGGTGTCTGTCTTTTATCACATGAAATTCATAACCTGTCACTTTGATCCAATTTGAATATTATATTTTACGGTCTCAACTCTAAATAACATTTTGCTTAGGAAAAAATCCAGCGGCACTTGTCTCCAGAAGCACACAGAGCAACTAAAATAAATTATCTATGGGTTTATATAGTGTGTTTTCTATGGATTCTTAAGGAATCTTTCCAAACATGAATTCGTTATCTAAAACCATTAAGTCCTGATCTAAGTTTCTCAGTAAAAACAAAGTGTTCATTTCCGCGTGCTTAAGAAGGAGGTAAAAGAATGACTGGCAAATTGCTGGAACATGAGCTTTGTGAGTTCCTGCTACATTTTTATTTATGTGTAGACTCAGCTATCAATCACTAGCTTCTTATGAACAGAATGTGAGACCAACCCATGCTATTTTTCAAGATAAGAGAGTTAAAGTGAGAATCACAACCACTTCCTTCCGCTGTGCTAGACGCTAATGACAGGAATAAGGATATTGTGACATGTGAGACGTGGAGCAGAGGCTCAGAAGCGGAGCCCGAGTAGCTGCCTCCCAAGGCGCTCTTGGGCGCCAAGATGGCGGCGGCTCCGGTTCCTGTCACAAATCCCCTCAGTGCCTCGAACACGGATTCACTTTGCTCTATTTGTCGTATTAGAACAAATACAACATTGGAAAGCAACTGTACTCCAATAAAATCTTTCTTAAAAAGTAAATTCGCTCATTGCTCAAGAAATGGGGAGAAGAAAAGAAACAAAGAAAATGAGGATGGAGACGTTCAATCATGATTTCTTAGAATGTCCTGTCCCTTATCCGAAAGTTCAGTACTGTAGTCTTAGCAAATTTGCTCCCAATCCCTCCAGTGTTTTTCTGTGCCTTCTCCCCATATGCCTCCACTGATCTAGCGATAGGTCCTTGCAAAGTTTTCCCTTTAAAATATTTTCACTAAACCATAAGGAAGGGAGCTAGATAATATTAAAATTGTTATACTTGGTTTAAATAAGAACTCAAAAGGCCATCACCTATAAAATTTAAACGTTTCTAAAAAGAGCCTTTGAAGAATGGATAAAAAGGGAAGACGTGGAAGAGCCTGTGTAAACTTACTGAGCAATCCTGTGTGCATTTCATGGCTAAGTCTTTTTGAAAGTCCCAATTCACAGTAGAAGATACTCAAGTACTTGTGAAATATTTTACTGTTTTAAAGATTCCTTAAAATCTGTTGTTTCACTTAAGTTTGCAGTAGCTCTGTAAAACAGGAGATTATGGGTCTCAATTTGCCAATAAGAAAGTAAGATTCTATGAAGTTAAATGAAGAGTTGATATTCGAACCTAGACCTTGGGTCCTTAATCGACTGTTTGCTGCTTCCTTGAGGAAATGACAGAAGGTGTCTAATTGAAGTTTGCAGGATGCTTAAATTGTGTTGAAAACCATACTTATACTCGACATTTAAATGTGAGAGTATATGTGATAACTTCTAGGAGAAAAAAAGCAAATATTTATTCTACACTGTGAACTTTGACTATAATAATTGAGAAAAAATATGCCGAGTGAACCCAGAGAATTTGAATGCTGACAAAATCAAAGCATCATAAACTAATGACATTTGTATTCTTTCAGGTTTACAACACGCAGGGACCAAATGGGTCAACAGGGAAAGCATTTAAGGTGCATCTTCAGCTATGGGACACTGCAGGACAAGAGCGGTAATAGTGAATTATTTTGTTTCTAGCTATAAATAGCTTAGAAAAATTTACTTTAATGTGAATATGTGTTTGTACAGTGTGTGTGTGTTAAGTTGCTTTAGTCATATCCGACTCTTTGTGACCCTGTGGACTGTAGCCCACCAGGCTTATCTGATCATGGGATTCTCCAGCCAGGAATACTGGAGTGGGTTGCTGTTTCCTCGGGCAGGGGCTTTTCCCAACCCAGGGGTAAAACCCATGTCTCTTATGTCTCCCGCATTGGCAGATGAATTTTACCACTAGTGCCATCTGAGAAGTATTGTATGTGCCACATTGTATTGTATGTATGGCATTGTATGTGCCACTTCAATACGACTACTGTATGTGAACTTGAAAAATGTAAGGAAATGCAGCTCTCCTCCTGGTTTCAAAATAGACATCTATATCAACAAATAAAAATAAATTATCTGTAGTGAATTAACCATAACTAGCAATTGTGTATTTGGTGCAGATTGCAAAAATCAAATTTTCAGAAATCTCTGTGAAGATTCTTATGCATTGTCTTTGCACTTTGTGATCATTAAAAAAAAAATCCAGAGTTTAATTGAACTGGGGTGGGAAATTAACATTGTTACAAGTGCTACTTGAAGAGTCAGTTGAAGGAAAGGGTGTTAATATATTTTTCATCTCTTTCTGTCTTTACACACAGCCACGCATCCTCTACCATTTGACTGATTTTACTATGATTTCGGTCACGTCATCACCTTCCAGCTGGAATGTTTTATTCCCTTCCCCCCGTTCCTGAGCCTCTCCTTTCAATAGGCCTGGCTCACATTACATGTGCATGGTGGGGCTTTGCCAGACTCCCCAGCTGAAACAAACTCCCTCTTTCTTGAACTCTTACAAAATGTCTATTCGTCCATGCCTGCGAGGCTGCATGCATGCTGAGTCGCTTCAGTCATGTCCAACTCTTCGCGACGCTATGGACTGTAGCCCACCAGGCTCCTCTGTCCATGGGATTCTCCAGGCAAGAGTCCTGGAGTGGGCTGCCATCATGCCCTCCTCCAGAGGATTTTCCCTGCCCAGGGGTGGAACCCAGTCCCCTGTGTCTCTTGCATTGGCAGGTAGGTTCTTTACCACTAGTGCCACCCGGGAAACCCATCCATGCTTTAAGTTACTTTAATTAAATAAGTTAATTGATTATATACCACCTTATAATAAGACTTCCCTGGTAGCTCAGTGATAAAAAAATTCGCCTGCCAATGCAGGAGACGTGGGTTCGATCCCTGGGTCAGAGAGATTCCCCTGGAAAAGGAAGTGGCAAACCACTCCAGGATTCATGCCTAGGAAAACCCGTGGGCAAAGGAGCCTGGCAGACAACAGCCCATGGGCTCGCAAGAGAGTTGGACGCAACTTAGTGATTAAACAACAACATCTTGTGATAAGGCGTGTCTTTTATTTTTGTCTCTCACGGCTGTTCTTCAATTCACTTGTGGCCTTCTCACCCCAACAATTGTGAGCTTCATAAGAACAGAGACCGTGATTGTTTTCTCAGCCTTGTCTCGGGTGCAGCGACCCAGACAAGAGACACCCGGTAGACCGTAGTGTTGATTGTTTAGAGCTGGTGGTGCTATGCCATGATTTGAAGAAAATACATTTCTTTGAGATCCAAGCTTTCAAAGTGCAAAAGACCCCAAGCTAGTGAAGCTTTTCAATATTAGATGAAACAGAAATTGGCAATAGGTTGTCAGAGAAGATAAGTAGAAGGCACATACCTCCAAATTCTGCATCACATGTCTTACAATGTTTATGCTTGTAAACACTTCAGGCTTTGAAATGAGTCCAAAACATTCTCACGTTCAGTGAGTGTAAACGCTGGGAGAGGTGCCGGGCCCTCTCTGGGAGCTCTTTTGACTGTGAATTCCATTTACACACATCCTTCAACGCGGCTGGTTCCTCTGAAGTCGTTCCTCACAGGAATCTCTGTTCATGTGTCAGTTTTGTTGTCACAAAGATGTATGTTTTATAGACCAATTTAATTCATTTTTGAAGAAGTAATATGAGAAAATGTGGTTCCCATATGTCTTCGCACACGATATGTCAGCCTAGCATGATGGCAGGCTTCTCTCATCTGTCCCCTTAAGACAGCTGCTCTAGGAGAGAAATGGAAATACTAGGGATTGTCTTAGTAACACCAAGGTTATTCATCCCTTGAGAATTTTGCGTTCTGTATATTAAAGTGTAGCTAAGCAACAAGATAAACAATGCCTCACACCTCAAGCCCGTGCCCGAGGACGTCTGGCACTGTAACCCATGTAAGATAATGGTTATTGGTAAAAGTCACATTATGGGAAGGAGGAAAAAGATCATACCCCTATGTAAACCTAAAGGATGCAGAGCACAGACTTAGTCCTCAGTGAGGGATAAAGAGCTATTACGTGCCCCTGGGATCTGATTATTCATGGGGTCCTAGCTTTCCACATTCTGGGGACAAAATGAGGTTGGTGGGTGGAGCTAGAAATAAATAAGATTACTCATGGACTAAACCCTGGAAAGGCTTCCCTGGTGGCGCCGTGGTGAAGAATCGGCCTGACATTGCAGGAGACACAGGAGACATGGGTTTGATCCCTGGATTGGGAGGATCCCCTGGAGGAGGAAATGGCAGCCCACTCCAGTGTTCTTGTCTGGAAAATCCCATGGACAGAGGAGCTTGGTGGGCTACAGTCCATGGGGTCGCAAAGAGTTGGACACGACTGAGGGACTAAACATGAGCACAAAAGCCTGGAAACTCCGGTGCTCACGAGGGTGCAGCGGTGGAGTGGTCCAGGGCATGAACCTGGCTCAGAGCGGAAGTATCCTGTCCCTGTTGCTATGGATGCACAAGTGTTTGCTCCAGTGAGATCTATCCAACAAGCACATTTTAAAGTAACTGTCATGGGCTGTGGTAATGAGAGGGGAGAAAGGCGCAGTAGATTTGTCCTCAAATGAGAAACACACAGACTCATGCACTTAAAAAAGACAGGACAGAGAACAGGATCGGGGCTGACTTAGCCACACTCTTGTGGTTTGAGTAGGAGACAGTTTTGTGAGTACAGTTAGTCCCCAAAGAGAAAGAAACAACCACTCAATGAAAGCACCATAATCTCTGAGCTTCTAGTGACTGGCAGGGACAAATCCACAAGGATAAAATTGAGTGAGACTTTTGGTATTTCATAATCATCATGATTATATCCTACCAAAGAATCTTATTTTGGAAATAAATAGTCTTAACTAAAATATCTCTTTTCTGTGTCTCCATATTAAAAGTATTGTTTCTATTGAAGTCATTTACCTCCTTAATAATTTCATATCCTTTTTATTTTCTATCTTTGTTTCTCTAAATTTGGCAAACAATCATCCAAAAAAAAAAAAAAATTTCAGAGTCATGAAAATGCAATGGATAGCGAGTTAAAAACACCGCTTCTTTTCTCTTGGAGGTTCCCATCTAGGATGGAATTTGGACAAATAAACAATTTCAATAAAGCTTCAGGACAGTAACAGGGAAGCAAGGACTGGCTGGTGGCTGTCGGGTACAGCAGGAGGAGTCCATACCCAGATGGTGGTGTTGGGAAGTCTGCGTGGGGAAGTGATCCTCTTATATGTATAAATATATACACTCATACACAGTGTATGAGTAAATCTTTTCCTGGCTAAAGAGGTAGGAGGTAAAGGAAGCCTGAAGGCAAGGTCACCCACAGGAATAACAGCGTGTGTGAAAGCCCAGGGGAAAGCGTGAACTTTCCAAGAACTTAAAGAAGCTCAGCATGCCTGTGGGTAGTCAGGAGATAAAGCTGGATAGATGAGCAAGGGTCAGTTCATGCAGAGCCTTGGCGGATTATTGAAAAGTTCAGTCATTATCTTTAGAGCCAGGTACCATCATCTGACATTTTTAGCAGAGGGTTTATAGAATCAATAGGAAGAAATCAGGGAATGAGAGGACCCGAACAACACTGGAGACAGGAAGCCTGTTGAGAATGCTGTCGAAATTATCCTGGTGGAAGATAATGGCCTCGAAACTAGAGTAGTGGCAGGGTACGTGGAGGGACATGAGAGGGTCAGGAGATATTTGTTGACTGCTTGTATATAACAGGTGAAGGAGAAGGAGGCCATGGCACCCAAGGAGGATGGTGACTGATAGAAAAATCAGAGGGAGGGTGAGTTTGGTTTCAAACATGTGAGGTTGATGGTACCTTAGTTTCCTCCAAGTGGAAATATCCAGCAAGTAATTGGGCATACAAGTAGCAAGGCAGGAAAGATCTAGACCTATAAACTTGGGGTTCCATGTATACACCAGGATAATTGAGCTAGCAAAGTAGACGAAATAACCCAGTGAATGCACGTAGAGGATGAAGGGGTCAAGAATAGAACCCAGAGGAAACCCAAGAATCTACAAATAGGCCAAAATAGGTGACCAAAATATTAGGAGGACTTTTAGGATAGGAAGAGATCTGCTTCTCTGTTTAAAGTCACGTGTCTTTCTTAAAACCAGTGGCCAACTTCACTTCTTTGTCAGTATAACCCAAAGCTTCTCTGGGCCCTGCGTGTCATCTCCGGTTTTGCCCATTGCATACATTGAAGTGGATCTCAGAGCATCTTCAACTTCCCTGAGGATGTTGGGGTAGGGAGGGTTGGAGGAAGAGAGAGAAAGTGTTTACATTGCACATGATGGAGTGTATTCTTCAAAATCCTCCCTTAGAATTGAGTGTTCTTACTTTCTGTCCTCAACTAGTAAGTCTTTCTGCCCTTCCCTCCAGTCCCCTAATCATAAAGTTTTCTTCTTCCTTTCTTCACTGTCTTTCTTCCTTCTCCTTAAGAGACATGCATGTTTTATCCCCAAAGAGTACGAATAAAAGCGTTATCTCGCCAATGTTGTTTTTCCCTACAAAAGAACCCTAGTTCCAGCTGCTGACAGTTGTGGTTCTCTGCACACAATCACAGGCACTCATTTTCAGCCTGCCATGTGCTAAGCTTCCTTCTGGCCACAGACAGGAAAATTGAAAAGTAGAAGTTAAAGTCTCAGTCCTGAAGTGCCTTATATTTTAACTGTGGGCCACAAGATGCCTGTGAGCCAAAGAGAGAAGGATTCCAAGAGGCTGTGTAAGCAAGCGTGTGATTGAAGGTTACAGACTCTTGCATGCGCGCCTGCTGTGGAACATAAAGCCTCAACAGGATCTTAAATCTACAACCAGATGGGCTCCTCTGACCCTTCAGCAGTCTTTCTGCCCACTCACCCACTCGGGAGGATCATCTAGAGGGATGCCATGGAGAGTTCATATCTGAAAGGGACACAGTGTTTTTTGTATTATCATCAGAGTATCCAGCGGACTAACTTTCAGAACTGTCCACTGTTTTCTTGGCAGATTCCGGAGCCTCACTACGGCATTCTTCAGAGACGCCATGGGTTTCTTATTAATGTTTGACCTCACCAGTCAACAGAGCTTCTTAAATGTCAGAAACTGGATGAGTAAGTGGGACTGAATAACTTCTCTTGGGCACGTCGGGACCCAATAGCTCTATCTGCTTCTTGGCCTCACAAGATGAAACCAGAAAAAGTCACAGGTTTAGTGTTGCCCATGTTACCTTTAAAGTGGTGGCTTGTATGTGGCTCACTCAAAGTGGCTTGGAATTGGTTTTTCCTTTGACACCTTAGACGAATCACCACCTATGCATAAGGACTTTATGATTGCAATGGACGGGCCATTCATTCCACGTGTGCAGTAAGTCTCGAAGGACTTCTTACAACTGAGTGAGCAGTCACTTCTACTTTGTCTAGCCTGGAGTGGACACAGAGAAGCACAGCATTTTCTGAGTAGGCACACGGGCACCTACAGTGTGTGCCCTTGCATGTGGGTTAACTAAATAGTTAACTCAGGGATCAGTTAGGTGAGAAATTGTTTCAGAGCAGAGCAGCTGCATGAAGATACCATATAGTGTGTCTGTCAATAAGCTCACGTTGAAATTTTACTTTTTTTGAACAAGTGTTCAAATGTGAGAGACTGGTAGAGAAAAATCTCCAGCTTTCATGGCAATTTAAACACAGTAAAACTTCAAATTAACCTAATCAGTTATTAAAGCCAGATTGATGTAAATCAGCACAGAAGAGTGGTATTTTATTTTTCCTTTTTTAAAAATTGGTTTTGGCCTTAAGGCCCTTTTTTAGGTTTCCAATTCCCGTTTTTGACGGCCTTGGGCCCGGTTGGCATTCCCTTGGGGTTGTTGTTCTTTGTTTTTGGGTTGTCGGGGCTGTCTGTGGCCAGAGCGCTATTGTTTGAAAGATCAGATCATGTTATACCCTGCTCCAAATCCTTCTGGGGTTTCCCACTTCACTTGGAAGAAAACCCAGAGTCCTTTGCTGACCTCTGAGGCCATCATGGAAGCCTGGCGTGCTGCAGGCCATGGGGTCCCAAAGAGTCAGACATGACTTAGCGACTAAACAACAGCAAAGACCATCATCGTCGCTTCCTCTGTAGCTCGTTCTCTCTGCCCCTGCTCACTGGCCCCCAGCCGAAGGGCTCTCCCAAAAAGTACAGTCCTGCCTTGGGGCCTTTGGTCCCTGCTTCCTTCTGCCTTGATTTCTGTTTTCCCGTTTACACCATGTATTAATTCTTTCGCCTCCTTCAAGTTCTTGTTCAGACTTCATTTATCTCTTGGGAGAAGCTTTCCTGATGGCTCCATCTAAAACTGTTCTTCATCACTCTGAGTGTGCTCAGGACACTTTCTGCTTCATTTGATCACTGCCCCCACCTGACATCATATATATTACATCATATCATATCATATATTTCTTTGTTTTATCATTGTTTTTCTTTTTTCTTTTTTTCATTTATTTTTATTAGTTGGAGGCTAATTACTTTACAATATTGTAGTGGTTTTTGTCATACATTGACATGATTTAGTCATGGATTTACAAGTATTCCCCATCCCGATCCCCCCTCCCACCTCCCTCTCCACCCGATTCCTCTTTGTCATTGTTTTTCAGTCACTAAGTTGTGTACAACTCTTTGTGATCTCATGGACTGCAGCATGCCAGGCTTCCCTGTCCCTCATTATCTCCAGGAGCTAGTACTCAACTTCATGTCTGCTGAGTCAGCGGTGCCAGCCAACCATCTCATCCCCTGCCGCCCCTTCTTTCTTTGCTTCCTTGTGGTTTTGATTCTTTCCACCTCTAGAAGGTGAGCTCTGTAAAGGTTCAAACTTGGTCTGCTTGTTCTGTTGCGATACCCCAGAGCACCTGGCTAAGTATCTGTTGAAAATACAGGTTGGCACGGTTTTTCTCTTTTTAATCATTTCTTTCCTTCCTCCCTCCCTTCCTTCTCTTCCTCCTCCTCCCCCCATACCTCCCTTCTTTTGGAAAAAAGAGAAAAACAAATAACCTGTCTTAATATTATTTCTACATGAATTTGGGGTGGTTTAAAAAAGCTCTGCTCTTATGAATCATTACCTTGAATTTCAGGAAAGAAAAACATATCAGCGTCCTGAAGGAAAGAGCAGAGAGCCCCTGTACCAGGGGGCACTAGTGGCAAAGAAACCACCTGCTAATGCAGGAGACATAAGAGACGTGGGTGTTCGATCCGGGGAGGGGGAAAGATCCCCTGAAGAAGAGAATGGTGACCCGCTTCAGTGTTCTCGCCTAGAGAATCCCATGGCCAGAGGAGCCTGGCGGGCTATAGTCCAGAGGGTTGCAGAGAGTCAGACACGACTGAAGTGACTTAGCACACACACACATATACTTTAAGACCATGTTCTCTTATCTTCACTTTTATTTGAGGAATAAATGGTCTGAAAAGCAGTATATTCAACTCAGATGAACATTCCCAGATGTTCATTTCCAGGGGGTGCGGTGATAAAGAATCCGCCTGCCAGTGCAGGAGACACAGGTTCAATTCCCGCGTTGAGACGATCCCCTGGAGAAGGAAGTGGCACCCCACTCTAGCATTCTCGCCTGGAGAATCTTATGGACAGAGGGACCTAGCAGGCCACAGTCCATGGGGTCGCAAAGGGTCGGACATGGCTGAGCACACATCACCTCACCTACGTTCGTCTCAGAGGTCATTTCCCCAGATGTAGAAGATCACTGACAGGTATTCACACAGGTGCTTCATACACACTCTTACTAATCTTCACAGCCTGCCACCTGTGAGGCAGTATCTCCACGTTCTAGGCAAGGAAACTGTGGCTGGGAATAGTTAAGCACCTTGGCTGATATAACTCGTAAACAGCTAAGCTGGAGACGCACCATTCGATTAGGACCCTGAAGTATGAGCAGTCTTTTGGCATCACTTGTTTACAACTAACTTGCTGGTTCCATCTGTTTTCTTTCCAAGGCCAACTGCAAGCAAATGCTTATTGTGAAAATCCAGATATAGTATTAATTGGCAACAAGGCAGACCTGCCAGACCAGAGGGAAGTCAATGAACGGCAAGCCCGGGACCTGGCTGAAAAATACGGGTAAGTCGGCTACGTGGAAATATCCTCTGACCTCACACACTGCTGCTTAGTTAGGGGACAGGGTCATGAAACTGATATACAGAGGGATCCCCTTGATTCAGAAATGACAGATGAATGAAAAAGATCTCCCAGAGGAATATACGTGATGCTTTTAATGAAATTATTTAACAATAATAACCACTCACATTTACTGAATGCTTATTGTGTGCTAGCAACTAGTCCTAGATTTTATCTAACCCCTATAATTATATATAGGAAATTTAGAGTTATCCCATGTGATATATGAGGAATTGAGACACAGAGAAGTTGAGTAACTTATGGAAGGCCACATAGCTAGTGAGTGGTAGAGCTTGAATTCAATCCAGGCTGTCTGAGATCAGAGCCCATCATTTTGAACACTGTGTTCTACAGCCTCTCAATAGCTGCAAAACTCTAAGGAATAATACCTGACCTGGATGTAATACTGCAATTATTATCCTGAAAGTGAAAGTGTTAGTCACTCAGTCTTGTCTGACTCTTTGCAACCCCATGGACTGTAGCCCGCCAGGCTCCTCTGTCCATGGAATTCTCCAGGCAAGAATATTGAGTGGGTGACCATTCCCTTCTCCAGGGGATCTTTCTGACCCAGGGATGGAACCCAGGTCTCTTGCATTGCAGGCAGATTCTTTACCATTTGAGCCACCAGGGAAGTCCAATTATTATTATTATTATTATTATTATCCTAGCTAGTTAAAAAATGTTTAAACACCCCAAGTAGTTAGAAACTGATTTCCAAGGCAGAAATTGTCATTGTTTTTCAAATTTAAGTTCTTTTGCCAAATGTGACAGTTCTTTACCTCCTTGCGAGTTTTACAAATAAATGTACATGTCTTCTTGAAACTTTGGATTCTAAATAAATGTGGGTTGTATTCACGTGAATAGCCTATGTAGTCCCTGCCTAATTTCTAAATCAGACTTCTAGATAATTGATTATAGGGAAGTAAGCGTTTAATAGGCTTCCCTGGTGGCTCAGATGGTAAAGAACCTGCCTGCAATGCGGGAGACCTGGGTTCGATCTCTGGGTCAGGAAATCCCCTGGAGAAGGGAATGGCAACCCACTCCAGTATTCTTGCCTGGAGCATCCCAGACAGAGGAGCCTGGTGGGCTACAGTTCATGGGGTTGCAAAGAGTCGGACACAGCTGAGCGACTAACACACTAATAGTTTAATGGCAACATTGATCACTAGTTTAGGCATATTTGCCCTCTTCATTTTTAAAAAATCAGTGATGATGTTTGGCTTCAAGTACCTGAGCACCTCTTGTAGCAGTTTCCTTGCCGGTAACACTGGTTACACCCATACATAAAAGCAACCTACCAGTTTTCACTCACTGAGGAAAACCAAGGATGTTTTCCAACTCAGCCAGCAAAATCGTGATTATTTCACAATCTCTCAGCCAGCCATGTTTTCGCATGTGTGACTCACTGACACATCTTGTTGTATCTTTTCTGGTTCCTTCCTTGCAAAAATATTTGTCATCTCTTCCATTCTAGCATACCATATTTTGAAACAAGTGCAGCGACTGGCCAGAATGTGGAAAAAGCTGTGGAAACCCTTCTGGACTTAATAATGAAACGAATGGAACAGTGTGTAGAGAAGACCCACATCCCCGACACCATCAATGGAAGCAGCTCTGGAAAGCTGGATGGGGAAAAGCCAGCAGAGAAGAAATGTGCCTGTTAGACTTTACCCCAGCCTCTGATCATCCAGAACCCCAGGCAAACGTCACTTCCAAAAAGAGCGACAAACCATACAATTTTTGTTGAGTAAACCGTGTATAACGGCATGTCTTTCTTTTCCTGCCAGAAATTTAAAAAAACCTGAATAGTCAACAGTGTTCAAAAGAGTTGACCAGTAATCCCCAAGGCCCCTCCAAACAAGATCAAAGATTTCCCAGTGTCATTGTACCATCATGGATTCTCAATTTGTTTTTTTCATAAAGAAGATGAACATAGAAAGGAGTGTGAAAGAAGAGATACCAGTGAGTTTTCCATCAGAACCAAAATTACCTTGTCACACTGGGGACAAGAATAGGTTTCTGAAGGGAGAACACAGAAAGATGGCTTGTTTTTTAAAGGTTGGATTTACTAGTTACGTAGATTCTGATTTGGACTTTCAGGTTTGCATTGAGGGGGACATATTAGCTAAAAGTGCATACACAATAAAGAATTCTAAGTGGTTCATTTAGAGTGACATTACTATGTATATCCTATAAGCTGTGCTAGAATGACAACATTACTGATAAAGTTACGAGAGGATGAATGTCAGACTTCTGACAATATGTAAGAGACTGTGTAATAATGCCATTTGTATATTCTTAATAAATGGCAGATAGACAAGAATAGGACTGTGAATGACAGAGGACAAGAAGAAGGCCCAGAGAGAGAGATGAAGGTATGGGAAAATGGCATTTGGACAACTGAAATTAAATGTGTCTCTTACAGATGTCTGGGAGAATTACTTAGCCAAATTTCAGTCCAGCCAGTTGAAAGATGACATTATTGGTTGGCATTAAGAGAGTGTCCAGAGGTTTCCATTCCCAGCACAGTTTTAGAAACTGGTCTAGTGCTCAGCTTCTGGTGTAGTGTTCAGCTTCACATTTCACATTTCTTAGCAAATCATGATAAACAGTCACAAAGAGAAATTAAAGATTGCTGTTTATTAAATATCTCTTTATGAACTCAAGAAAAACTATTTAGCCTTAATTTTTTGGATAAAATATGCTGATGATATGAAATAAAAAGTGACTATTAATTCTAGGTTTCTAATTTACAAAGTACTAGAAACTCTGTATCACATTGCCCCCCTCCAGCCTACACCCACCCTTGGCTTTGACTCAACTGTAAAAACACTGGTGTGTCACTTTGTAGATTAACAACTTCGGAATTATGATGGATCAATTTTATGGTCACTTAATTTTCATGTCATTCATCACAAAAAAGTTGATGATACCTCATGCCATATTACAGTGTATTTAGCATCTGTTTTTATTTTGCCTAAGGCAAAATACCTATGGGTGAACTATATTTGGGGGTTGGCAGAGATGGAACTGTATCCTGTCTCACCAAAATTTGGTTAATGGCTTTATTTTTCCCATAATGCTGTCTTTTCTTTCTAAAAATGATCACAAAAGCATTTTCCATTGGCCTATTCTTATTACTGTGTCTAATATTACATTGGTTTTTTATTTTAGCTTCTGATAAACATAAGCCATTCCTTTTAAACTTCAAGTGTTTCAGTCAAGTTTATCAATAACAAAGTCATCATACTTTAAGTTTTCTCTGTTTATTATGAGTATATGATTTTTCTAAAGGCTAGTTCTTCTTTGTAGAAAATTTTGCCAATTAAACTGCACTTTTCTAGACTTTGTATATTTTTTGTTAAGTTACAAATGTAGGAAACTCTAAATCCCAGTCCCCCACCTTTAACCTCCTCTATCAAACTCCATCTGGTACAAATCAGTTTTTGGAACACACATCCAAGGGAGCATCCAGCTGTAAGACCCAGAAATGTGCCATGAATCAGGTAATTTGGAAGCTTTTAAGTCAGTCCCTTAACAGACTAACACAGTCTCCATGTTGGCTGCCCAGGTCCTGTGATTCCTGTGTGATGCCAACTTCTAAAACTGGTCATGGGTGGGGTATTCCCTCCCACGACGCTTTTCTCTTTGATGCTCTTCATGACCTCAGTGCCTGTGCCCAAAGGATATTAGATATTAGCTGACGTCAAAGATGTTTCCTCTGGAAGGCATATGAGCAAAACCAATGTAACCATCGAAGTGGCAAATTTTGGTGAATTCTTGTGGTCATTATATCGATTTCTCCTTTGGATTCAAATTGTGATGTCCCCTGCGTTTCCATAATAGGAAATATTTAGTCTTTCTAAAAATCCAAAATGCATTCTATTTTGGATATTTATTTTTTCTATTTATTTTCCAGTTATATGATTGATTTGCTTATGCCAAGATTCTGTCACTGTCAGTTATTTAACAAGCTTTTAGTTCAGGAGCTATTTTAAGATTATTATTTGATAGCCATAGCATGAAGCAGAGGGTGATGATGCCTTTAAGTATAGAACTATTCCTATAAAAATAACAATTATTGGGTAATAATATCAAGAGGAACAAAATTAAAAACAGTCAAGAATATTATTTTAAAATAGTATTATACTTTTACATACTTGATCTAAAATATTTTATTCTCTGTTGAGTTTGACTTAAGACCCTAAAGTCTATGTAACCATTACTAGTAACCATTACTCTTTCATTATTTCAGAATCATTTATTCCATATAATTCATGTTACAATTTTAAATTGATTTGAAGTCATGAAGTATAAGACTGCTTTTGAAGAATTGCATTGTTAACACATAGCAACATGTGTTACGTATTATCTCCCAAATGCTTTAGTAAGCCATATTTTATTTTGGAGAATTATTTAAAATGTACGTGAAGTTCTTTCCGATATAGAAACCATTTCTGAAGTGTTTACACTGGTTTGATGTTTACATTGTCCTAATACAGTGCCTCAGATACCTCCATGACCAAATTTGTCTATAGCCACATAGCTCAATTCCTATAATACCATGGTATAGGAAGGGCTCACAGAGACACTAGTGCAGCTAAAGTTATTTTGTTGTCTTCAGCAAAGGGTATAAGGATATTATTCAAATCCAAAGATTATTACCACCATCTCTTGGTCACATTTTGGGAAATGGACATTTCTTGAGACTCTAACTGTGATTAGGTACAAGATTACCTTTTAATATAAAAAAAAAATCCTTTGGAAAATTTATCAGAAGTAGTTAAGAGAACATGTCTGTCTTGTTGTGATGAGGATAAGAAGTCACAGATTGGCAGAAAAAATGCTGAGTACTGGAAATTTAACTTGTGGGTCTTGACATAAGACTTTTAAAACTCTGGCCAGTGACCACTCTAGCCAAGTTGCTATCATTTCCATATTATCAACTATCATGCTACAAATAATTCAAAACCAGCATTTTACTAAAGTAAATATTTTCCCTGTTGTTTTTAACCAGATAGGGCATTCTGGGTATCAGTGAGTGCTTTGTTATGCTTCTAGTACAAGTTATTCTCTGCCAACCCATTCAGATAAGAAGGATTGGGCAAGAGTTTTTCCAGCCCTTTCTTGTCTCCTTTATGAAAGAGAGAAGCTTTGACCATAACGAAGAACTGACTACATTAAAAGACAGTTTAATAACAGCTGAAGTAGTCTTTAAAGTGTAAATATTGTCCACTGTGAATCAACAAATTTGATGAAGCTCATACCCATTCTCACCAATGGAGTGGGTATGTTAGTTAGAAGGAAAAGCAATATGTTTAAAAAGGTACAGTATATAACTAGGTGTAGAATATAACCTGGAACTACAAATATGAGGGAGAATCCTCACCCATAAAGAATTTTGGAGTTTAAAACTCAAATTATAAAGAGATTATATTGAAGTTTCTGGTTTCCTAACATACTTAATATTATTTTTTAAAAGGAAGATCTGTGAGCTATGTTAGCCAAAGCAATAGAAAAGTAGTCCTTCACCTTCTACTCCCAAGCTTTAAAGCGTTAAAAGACGTCTAATGTTTTTGAATATTTTAGGGAAAGCATTATCATTTTTAAAGATACCAAGATGCTGTCTATATTTAAAACTATTGTTTAGGAATTCACCAAAAGCTATATTTTCTTCTTGATCTTTGACCAAAATGGTATAAGCTTATTTCTGGGAAGAGTGCTGAGCTCCTAAACATGGAAAGTAGAGAATATGCCCTGAGTTGAGTGCTGTCTCAATGTTGTATAAATCTATAAAGATAGTTGCCTCATAAAGTAGAACTGTTAGATGAATAGGGAATTTTATAAACTTATTGCCTTGGAGTTCTTGGGTAGAGACCCAGCCATGATGACACTGTTGAGTAAGAACTATAAAGAAAGATTAGAGATTCAAGTTGTCTAAATAGAGTTTCTAACTATGGGAGAACATGGAGAAGACCATACTTAAAAGGCTGATTTTTATGTAGGAAAAAAAAAAAAAACCAAAACAGAGAAAGAGTTATATATTTGGGGCTTCCCTTGTAGCTCAGTCCGTAAAGAATCTGCCTGCAAGGCAGGAGACCTGGGTTTGAATCCTGGGTTGGGAAGATCCCCTGGAGAAGGAAATGGCAACCCACTTCAGTACTCTTGCCTGGAGAATCCCATGGACAGAGGAGCCTAGCTGGCTAGTCTATGGGGTTGCAAGAGTCAGACACGACTTAGTCACTAAACCACCACCACGGCAAATATTTACCTATTATTTTTATCTTCCAAGTAGAAGTTTAGGCCCTTAGAACTAAGCTAATAAAAATATTTAAATACCAAATATTTCATGATTGGCATCAAAATTTGAGACGCTTAGAACCATTTTATTTATCCTATCTGAATCTAATTTCCTCATAAATTGCACTTTAATTTTTCAAGAAGTAGCATCGCAAAGGCCTTTCTGCACAGTTCTTTTTACCAACAGCCTATGTTTAAGATATTTTCTAATCCATATTTAGAGAAAATAACAGGCAAACAAACAAAAAGACGAGTACCAAAATAACACAGTTATTTAAAAGCATGTCATCTTTGAAGAAAAAAAAAATACAAAGAAATCATCTCTGAATTGGGTTATTTAAATTTGTTCCCCAGTTCCTTTTCTTTCCAACAGGTCTTGGAAGTCATGGCCATTATCCCTCAGTAGACTTAGTCGTTGGCAAATTCTGTCGGAGCTGCATGTCTGTTCTTATCCTAACGGATCCCTTATTTAACCAATGGCTATTGTTGACACATCAAAATATTATTTGTCCCTAGCAAAGCAATAACATATGCTTATCCTTACTCTTCTCTTCTCCAGGTTATTTTTTCAAACACTGTTTGAGAGGAAGACTAGTTTTGTAGAAAGGAAAGTGGCCGGATAGAACGACTTGGGAGCTGTGGGTACTTCATTAAATATGGCTTCTCCTCATATGAGCCTTCTAAAGCCTGTGTAACTCGCAGGGTTCATTTCAGGCTCCAAGGAGAACATATGTTGAAACTGGTTTATAAATTCTGTTCCATTTCACAAACTGACACTATTATCCCAAGCTAAGAATAATAAAATATCACAGTCATACTTTCACAACCATATGTTCACAAGTGTTATAGCAGGCACAAAACACTAATTTTAGTAGCGATATCGGAAACTTGAAATGGGTAGTCAGCTCTGGTCATTATCTTTGATTGAAAATGTTCAATATATCTCAAGTTATTGAAAAAATAAATATGAGTTCCATTTCATTCTGTAGGTCATCTCGTATTTCTTTCAAGGAATCCAATTATATTCTAGATAGTATATTAAAATTTGGTCAAAATCCTCCTTGTATAAATAGGGCTTTGTGTCCACAGCCTTGTAAAAGATACTGACTGTATCTGAAATTATTTGAGGAAAGTAAGTTATCCTGCTTAATGTGTTAAAAGTAGACAACATTTTGGCCTAACACTGAAGTACTTCACTGTATCCAAACAGTCTACATTTAAGTGATATTATCCTCATTTTTAGGCTAAGCACGTTTGATTGTTTTGTCTGTCATCTACTCAGATCTCTGTTGTGTCTAGTGCTATGAATGTAAATTAAAACCTTGAACATGGAATTTTTATTCTCTGTGCCCCTGAATAGACTGTGGTGCCTGACAGACTCTGTCAGGTCATTATTTTGTTGTACCAAAGTTCTAGTAGCTTCAGAAATCAGAGCATCCAATGATTTTGTGGTGTGTGGGTTTAAATATTACAGTCCAGAACTGTATTCAGTGATTGTTTCCGCACACTTTTCAAATAAAAATGCATTTTTATCATTATTTTGCGTACTCAAAGCAATCTTATTTCTGTACTGTAGTCAAATGTATGGAGGATGGGGAACATTAAGTGAATACCAGTATGGAAACTGTATGACATTAAAAGCGATGTCCATTAGGAACTAGGAAAGAAATTATTTAGATATCGCCAAGTGATTTTTATCCATCTCTCTAAACTTTCTAATATATGAAACTGAAAGTGTCAGTCACTCAGTCATGTCTGACTCTGCAACCCCATGAACTGTAGCTGTCCAGGCTCCTCTGTCCATGGGATTCTCCAGGCAAGAACACTGGAGTGGGTTGCCATTCCCTTCTCCAGGGGATCTTCCTGACCCAGGNTCTCCAGGCAAGAACACTGGAGTGGGTTGCCATTCCCTTCTCCAGGGGATCTTCCTGACCCAGGGATCAAACCCAGGTCACCCACATTGCAGGCAGATTCTTTAGCATCTGAGCCACCAGGGAAGTCCCACATATTATTTGCTTAAGAACTGGGATTTTCAAGGGAACTTTCCTAATAATTTTGAAGGATACACTTATAAAATTGGCAGTTAATATGTTGAAGTTATGTCAAGGTTCGTCAATACTTCAATGTATTATAACATTTCTTTTCCATAGGAAAATGCTGAAGATGGTCATATCTCCTTTAGTCACAGCCTGGGAACAGGACTGATGTTCAAAGTCAGTTCAAGACCACAACCATACAGCTTACTTTTACATGTTCATTCGCAAAGTTGTTCCCAGAGTTGTTCTTCCTCCATATGTTACATAGATAAGCTTTGCCAAGATAATGATGAGTTTTTAACTTGAGGATAAACAACTCTCCCACAGTAAGCAAATAAATCCTTGGCACCATTCTCTCAACTTTACTCCCTGGTAGCGGTAGTGTCTGGAGAAGGGAATGGCAACCCACTGTGGTATGCCTGCCTGGAGAACCCCAGGGACGGAGGAGCCTGGAAGGCTCCAGTTCATGGGGTCACAGAGAGTTGAACACAACTGAGTGACTCACCACAGTAGTAATGCCTCGTCACACAGGCAGAATCTTTTTATCCTGGGTTCATCTTAAATAATTCAAGGTAGGTCATTAGAGATTTGCTTTTCCTAATGGTTTCATAGGGTGTAAAAATAGTCATAGTGTGCCCCATACTGAAGAAAAAGTAAGACCATCGAAACATTCAACTATAATGGTAGGACTTCTCTTTTTAAAACTGTATATAAGGTATTTGTATGATCACAGCTCACGATACCAAGGAAGATTTTGTTTCTAATATGGATTGTTAGCTGTGGAGAAAGAATAGCTATAATAAGAGTGTGAGCATTACTTTTCTGTTAGAAACTCATTTTAGAGGGCTTGCATTATGATTTAGGAAGCCAACACACTAATTATAATTTGACTAAGGCTTTATTGTAAGTACTAGAAAGATTTTGTGATACATGTCAGATTTTTGAAATCATCATCGCTTTGGCCCGTTTTTGGAGGTTTCTGAGAGAAAAAAATTTTTTTTTAACCAAGAGTTTCAAAAAAAAGCAGCAGACTTCAATCTCTTTGATTAATTTCCTAGAGACATTTACATCATGAGCTCATTCACCCTCGTGAAAAAGTGAACCCGAAGGAGCGATTTGGCATCATGTTAGTTAAGACACTGGATTATGAACCCATATTACCCAGCTTCATGGGTCCCCTTCTTGTCCCTTGACTTCGGAGAGCAGTTCTGCCTGAGTTCTCTAGGCCAACAGAGTAGGTCAAAGCAAGATCTCAACTTAGCCTTTTAAGAGCAGTTTTCTCATCACTGACCCTTCCACAGAACCTGGGCTTGCTTCATAGTCAGGGAAACGTGGGCAAAGGAGGGAATTGAGATACAGATTCCTGAAAATCACTAGCTTATCACTGCTAGGAAGTCAAAACCGAGCTTGAAGGCTAACTTACTAAACAAATAAAAGGGATGACTTACACAGCATAAATGTGAAGGAATATGTTGCATGAAAAATGATTTAGACAATACTGGGGCTTATTCTTCACCTGCCTGTCCAGCTGACGTCCTGGCTATTCCAGAATACACCTGGCCTGTGGGACTCACGCACCTGTGCCCCGCTCTGTCTGGACCCCTCTTCCACCCAAAAATATCTCCTTCTAGTCACTTCCCTAGCTTTCCTCCTATCTTTGCTTAAATATTACCTTCAAAGAGAGAGGTCTTATTTAAAATCGGCATCCTATGTAACTGACAGAGCTATTCACAGTAATAGCTTCAAAGATCAGTCAATTAAAAATTGGAACTACAGCTCTTCACCCCTGGTTACTCCCTATGCCTATCTTCTGCCTCACTTTTCTTCACAGTCCACGGGACTTCCCTGAATGTATTATCTGTTCGTCATCATTAGAAGAAATTTCCATGAAGACTGAGATTTCCCCCTTTTCTTTCTTCCCTACCACATGCACCCTCTCGCCTCTCCCCACTGCTCTTGTCTTGGCATCCAGAAGGGGCCTGGCAAATAGGGAGCCTCAGTAAATATTTAGTGGAATAAGAAATGAATGAATCTTAAAGACGTGATGCTCTATTGAAATAGAGCCACAGATGTAGATCACAAACCTGGTCACAAGGGGATAAGGAAGGGAGGGATAAAAAGGGAGACTGGGATTTAAATAGACCCTGCTATATATAAAATAAAACTAGCAAAAACCTGCTGTATAGCACAGGGAACTCTTCTCAATATTCTGTAATGGCCTATACAGGGAGATAATCTAAAAAGAGTAGATATATGTATACGTAACTGATTCACTTCACTGTATACCTGAAATTAACAAACGCTATAAACCAACTATATTCCAATAAAAAATTTAAAGAAGAATACATTGGCTAGAACAAAATTTGAGACACTAAACATTACTGCTACTTCCCAATGTTTCTCTGTACTCCTTCACACTCTCTCCCTCTATGCCTATCCTCAAATACTGATTTACACCCTGTCCCCATAAAATCATATGGTATTGAATATGTCCTCTTTTTTCTGGATTTTTTTTCAAGTATCATAATTTTATATTTATCCATAGTTGCAATATTTGTGGTTTATTGTTATTGCTGAGTTATATTCCAATATGAAGGAAGGCAGAAAGGAAGGAAAGGAATTATAATGATTTTATTTGTTTAACCAGTTTTTACTTACTGAAAGATTGGGTCCCTACTTTGATATTGATAAAGATCCTATGACTATTTTCAGATCAGAGGATTTCAAGTCAAGTAAGAATTTTCAAAGTGAAACAATATGAAAGAATCCGATAAGTGTCTATATGTTCTTAATTTTATAATGCTACCATTTTCTCAATTTTAGAATAAAAATTTAATAGATCAGTTTTGCTATTAATTTGGATTCAGAGAAAACTGGGAGAAAAATTCAAGGTGTTATTTAAATACCTGCTCACTGACAAAAACTATTTTTATGGATTATATTGTCACGAACAGTCAGATAACAATTGCTTGATTTATTTATGTATAATAATTCTAATGTAAAAAGAAACAAAACCCACAAAATGATATCAACTTTCTTTATTTTAAGGCATATCATAAGCAATTATTCAGATGGTATACACTATATTTTCACTGACAAAAACTATTTTTATGGATTATATTGTCATGAACAGTCAGATAACAATTGCTTGATTTATTTATGTATAATAATTCTAATGTAAAAAGAAACAAAGCCCACAAAATGATATCAACTTTCTTTATTTTAAGGCATATCATAAGCAATTATTCAGGTGGTATACATTATACCAATTTTTTAAACACTTCTTAATGATAATTTATAACAATATATGTAATCAAAGTGAAATGAAAATTTCATTTCCCATCTTCATGTATTTATTTCAAAGCCCACCTCAGACCTTCTTATCCAATATATTGATTAGTATAATTATAAATACAAATATTTTGACAACCAATTAGCTAACAGTTTGGTTTTTTGTTTTTGTATTTTCTGTGTGGCACTACTTTTAGACTATTAAATTTCATTATCCATTGTAATGATTTGTTTTGTCACTCAGAAATGTTTGTTTAAAGAAACAATTCAAATGGTAAAGCTGAAATGATGAGGATATAGGAAATAATCCACACATGACAAATAAATAATCTACTTGTGTTAGTAAAAAAATACTTTTGTACTTGAAGAGCAGATCTTTTTAGGCTTCTGAAGCTGCTTATTCTTATTCTCAAGAGATCCAAATACCATTCCAAAGTGGAGATGAAGATCATGTGAGCAGGTCCTACCTTTATTTTATTGAATAAAGTTCCATGTTCAAAAATGAGTATGATGGAACTCAAATAAACCCAACAATGTCTTTCCATTTTTGAGTTTAGAATACATTATTTTCATGTAAATCATCAAGGTTGTTAGGTCAGTTAAATGGATCCATTTAAAAAACTCACATTTATTACAACCCAGATTTATTGCAAGCCAGCATAATGGTTGGGGTATAAAAGGAACCTAAGTGATCTCCAAGTGAAAAGTGAAATTTCCTACCACTCCGAAGATGCTTAAGGCAGAATTCATGGTCCCAATATCCCTACACATGTGCCAGGAAATATATGACCAAAAATCCTGAATGTGGCATAAAGGCATGAATAATAAAGTTAAAAAAGGCAGTTTTAGCAGGGAAGTTTTTCAGAACTAAGTACTGGTAAGGTAGACCACCAGGTAAAAGACAATTCTTCTCAGCAAAATATTTACTTGCTAAGTGTTGTTTCTCAGTGTCATCCACAGGGTGGTGAAGAAAGCCAACAAAACAGCTGTGTCTGCTGAAGAGGCAAGAAGAGAGACCCTTCTGTGGTGGGGAGTATGGGAACAGCAAGCGAGCAGGCAGATGCATCAGAAGCCAGAGAAAAGGGTCAAATGTTCACTGCGTTGTCAGCTGCTAGAAAAATTACTTGCTCCTTCACAGTATCCTCCTCTGATCATGGGGACAATAATATGACCTATTTTGGAGGCTTGTTGGGAGAATTAAAGCAATTACATAGGTGAAGCACTTAATTGTTCCTGGCGTAGGGTGACTGGGCTTCTATGGTGGCTCAGATGGTAAAGAATCTGCTCGCAATGCAGGAGGCCGAGGTTTGATCCCGAATTGGAAAGATCCCCTGGAGGAGATCTTGGCAACTCACTCCAGTATTCTTGCCTGGAGAATCCCATGGACAGAGGAGCCTGACAGGCTACAGTCCATGGGGTCGCAAAGAGTCGGACACGACTGAAGCGAATAACACAGAGGGTGACTGTGTCCTAAATGTTATTAGGTAACTACACCTTAAAAACTAGAAAGCAATCAAAACAAGAAGTTATGAAACTTACACATAGAGTTAGGCAGCACTGCAAGGATTACAGTACTTTGCTGAACTTACAAAGACATTAGATGTTTCACATTCCACTTTGAAAGGCATGAAGCATCCTTCCTGAGAAAAGGCTCAGTTATACACCAAAGAGAGGGATCAAAAAGCCTACAGGTGATTCCCCTTTGAGGATGAAGAAGCTCTCTCATTATGCCTTTAGCTGAAGTGTGTTCTGTTTTCCTGAGTGCCAGTGTGTTTGCATTAAGTTAGACTTTGGTTTTACTCATATAACCACAAATTCCACCTGTAATGAATGTATGTATTGAAATACACTTTCACAAAAGCAATAGACACATCATTCCAAGTTTATGAATTCAGATTCTTCCTCACTGCAGACAACAACCACTGTTCCTTTGAATCCATAGTAGTAATAAATACCTTTTTATGGAGGTATCAACTCAGAGCACTATGTTCTATTCATTCCTCTAAACATTTTACTTATATAATATTAACAAAAACAAAAGAAAATTAGTCACAAAGGCAGAATCACAAAGTGCATTTCTTTGTGCTGATATGTGAGTTGCCTCTAGTAACCAAAGTTCAATCCCAAGTGAAGAACAGTAACCTCTTAAACTGCGGTGAGCAGTCAGGATTCTCAGCTTTGGAGGGTTGCGTAGGTAGGGAATTCGTTAAAAAAACTTACTTCTTCTTCTGCCCTTAATCCAGTAGAAAATAACTCTCTCACTAACCATGGGTTAGGAGATGAATTTACCTCATGGTAAGATATTACTTATTATCCAAAAGTCAACTTTAAAGTATATCATTTATTCACACACACACGCACACATACACACACTTGCAGCTTTAATTCCAGAGCACCACAATAATATCACAATAAAGTGAGTCACATGAAATTTCTGCTTTCCCAGTGCATGTAAAAGTTATATTTACATTATACCATAGCCTGTTAAGTGTGCAATAGCATTATGTGTAAAAAATATATACATACCTTAACTTAAAAACACTTCATTGTCAAAAAATGCTATCATCTGACAATGCAGAGTTGCCACGAACCTTCAATTTGTAAGAAAAAAAAACACGGAGTGTCTGTGAAGCACAATAAAAGGAAGTATGCCTGTGCATTCTTCCTTATATTTATACAAAGTCAACCCTCTGTACCTGCAGGACCCACACCAATGACTAATGGAATCCACAGATGTGGAAACTATGGTACAGAGGGCAAACTGTACTTCACCATTTTATATACAGGACTTGAACATCCACAGCCACACATAGGTTTTGGTACCTGTTAGGGCTTTTGGATTCAACCCTCATGGATACCAAGGGATGATGACTGCATACAGAAACCACTATCAAACGGTCAAAGTAGATGACCTTAACCAGTCCCTTCAAAAAATATTTGCAAACAATAAAAATAAGAAAGATTCAGTTTTTTTTTTTTTTTAAGTGTAAGCAAAATTCATCTTCCATCATGGGAAAGCATCCAGTTTCTTCATCCGTTTAGTAAGTTTTGAAGAAAGAGTTCCTTTCCTTGAATATATATTTGTTTGATTTTATGAAACATCTTCCTGCAAAGCTATTGATGTATACTTTGAATACAATACAACAAACTCCATTAAACACTGGCATTGAAGCATTTTAATATGTGTTTAGACTGTTTCAAGGAACAAATAAGACCCAAGTAGTAATCGTTCTCATTCAGATCTCCAGCCAGCCAGTTCACTTCCGTAGTCTAACCAACATCAAATATGGGGTTGTCCCTTCAGTCTTCAGTTCACTGTAGAAAAGACCACACAATTATCAAAACCGGGCACATAAAACTTTATTGATACAGTTGGGATACCACCACCATTACCATCACCACTACTACCAAGTCTTTACTAGTTGCTTCAACCTAAGAAATGGTGGTTAATTCACTGATTCTAGTTCCCCGTGAGACACAGCAGAAAGCATGTTATGAAAGACTTGTGGTTTATTTGCTAATTTGTATCTGACTCTTTGTGACTCCACAGACTGCAGCCCACCAGGCTCCTCTGTCCAGGAGATTTCCCAGGCAAGAATACTGGAGTGGGTTGCCATGCCTTCCTCCAGGGGATCTCCCCGACCCAGGGACCAACCCACATCTCTTGCACAGCAGGTGGATTTTTTTACCACTGATCCACTAGGGAAGCCCTGTGGAAGCCTTACCTTATGTAAATGCATCTGGCTGTAAGAGGACAGGGCAAGGAAGAGTGAGAGTGGATTTGCCCTTCCACTCAGTGAAGACATGCACCAGAGTGACTTGAGATGGAACACATAAATCAGCTGTTCCTCAGAATATTTTATCATAGCCTAAACTTCTCTCCTCAGTGTGTGAATCTAGTTTAATATATATATATAAATATATATACATATTTATATGCACACACATTGATATCTGCATGCACTTGTATACATATATATATATATATATTCATGCATATTTTATTGTTGCTGTTTTGCTATTTTCAAACAACCTGATCTTTAATATCGAGAAGACCGTTTCTCTGGTGTTCAATTTGAGAAACATCTACATGTTTTAATACTTGGAAAAAAATCCTTGTTTTTTGTACTTATTGAAAAATAGCACAGAACTCTTATTTCATAAGTAACTTAAGAGATTTGCCAAGATAAAATTTAAATGTATGTGATTCTTTTTTTCCTTGCAAGAATGGCCACTTTTATATTCCACTTCCTCCCTAAAGTTATGATTCCATTTTATTTTGGTGACTTTAGATTTACCAAACCATACTACCACTAGAGAGTTGGACTGTGAAGAAAGCTGAGCACCGAAAAATTGATGCTTTTGAACTGTGGTGTTGGAGAAGACTCTTGAGAGTCCGTTGGACTGCAAGGAGATCCAACCAGTCCATCCTGAAGAAGATAAGTCCTACGTGTCCATTGGAAGGACTGATGCTAAAGCTGAAACTCCAATACTTTGGCCACCTCATGCGAAGGGTTGACTCATTGGAAAAGACCCTGATGCTTGGAGGGATTGGGGGCAGGAGGAGAAGGGGATGACAGAGGATGAGATGGTTGGATGGCATCACCGACTCGATGGGCATGAGTTTGAGTAAACTCCGGGAGCTTGTGATGGACTGGGAGGCCTGGTGTGCTGTGATTCATGGAGTCGCAAAGAGTTGGACATGACTAAACGACTGAACTGAACTACCACTTACATTCTCAAGCAACCAATTGGTCAGATTTCATTTTGCAAACATGAGAGCTACCATTATAGATATATCATTACTATTGGAACTTCTATAAAAAATCATAAACCAAAGGACACATTCAGTTCAGTTTCCCTGCTTCGATTAGGAGATTTTCCCATTTGGTCTTTCCCAAGTCATAAGGAGGGGAAAAGTCTTTAAAACTACCTTTATTAATTAAATGCAGCTGAAGAATCGGCCATAGAAGTCATTGTCTCAAACTCATCCTCCTTGTACCATCCCGAGTCTCAGCACTCAGCACTCAATACAGTCAATATAGAGACCACTTGTTGCTCCCTCCTATGCTCCACTCTTGATTCTTCCCTCCAGGCTCAGAACAGCTGAGACTGGCCATGATGCTTCACGACTCCAAGAGAATGTACCCAGTAAGGGAGCTAAAGTTGACCATCCTCCCTTCCCTTGGAAAGTCTGACTTGCTGTTTTGTTTAAAATTTTTTTATATGGACCATTTAAAAAGTCTTTACTGGATTTGTTCCAGTATTGCTTCTGTCCTTTATGCTTTGGTTTTTTGGCCATGAAGTATACGGTATCTTAGCTCCTCAAGAAGGGATCGAACCTGCACCCCCTCCATTGGAAGGTGAAGTCTTAATCACCAGACCACCAGGGAAGTCACCACATTTGCCTTTCTATTCTAAACTCTTCATCTCTTCCCCTCATGAAGTGACTCTACTTTTTTTCTTTGCTTCTAAAAGGTAGGCATTTCACTTAATATTACACTTCTGAGGCTTAATTTTTCTTTATTAGATGTTGCAGGGCTACTGGCCAAAAAAAGTTAATAACTTAGCGTCTGGGGGCCCAGAGATTTCAGAAAGCTTGGTCCTTGATGGCTCCATCTCTAGTCTCTGATTACATACATCATTAGCAAAGTGAAGCATGGCTGCAGGGTGTTTTGAAAAGGGCGATGGATCTGCCTGAATTCCTAGACTGATGCTAATCATAGGGGACCTGATTTCTTCATGCCAGCACTGTGCAGAAGAGAGTTTCAGAAAATGGGTTTCTGCCCTAGAGAGACCAGACGGGGAAATTTAAAAGCTGCCAGAACAGGAAGTTTTTAATCACTTTCAAAATGATTCATGTAATTACAGACTATGTTTTCTTTTAAGTGATAATTTCATGGAATATTATGGAAATGAGATTTGAACTCAGAAGTCTTTTTTTTCACCAACCTGTCACTTCAGATTCTGTCAACATTAGAAAGTGATTTGATGGTTTCAACTATCATTTCTATTGCTTTAGGGGTCATTATCACTGCCTCATTCACTCATTGTTAGGTAGTTATTAAAGACACTTGTCCTTAACAATGCAGGAAATAAAGTGGAAAATAAAGAACTATTCTTGCCCTCTTGACATTTACAATCTCTTTGATTTGAGATACAGACATGGAAATTTAACTAAATACACACTTTTTATGATTAAAATGTCTATCAATGGCACAGAAAATACGAGCAATGGAGGAACAAGAATGGTAGAGGAGGTAATCTGTACTGTTTGGAGTAAGTGTTGAAGTGAAGACAAGGTTTGTTTTATACTGAAGAGGAGGGAAAAGATGCCTAAATTTATTCATTCATTTACTCGTAAAGTAAGTATTCACACATCAGATTTCAGGGATTCAGTCAGTAGTGAGCAAGATCAATATAGTTCCCATTCTCAAAGAACTGGAAGACAGATAGGAAACACAGGATTACACAAGTATTCACAGATTGGATTCTTACTCAAGTGGGATGAAAGTCAAACATGTTCAACAGGGGGTCACGAAGTCAGAAGGTGGTGGGGGAAGAAAGGCCTTACCTTGTAGAGACAGCCTTAGATACCTTCGTCCTATGAGTTTCAGGCCAGAGTGCCACCTTGGCTTTTAGTTCTTTGTTCTAAAATTGAAAAAAAAAAATGTGCAGAGATCACACAGGCATCACCTTTAGTGGTCCTACTCTCCATACTCCTGGTTGACCCACCACCTACATCCCTCCTTAGCAGTCAGTTTGCTGTTCCAGTTATTCTGTTAGAACACAGAACATAAGCTAGTTGAGAGTCCCTAAATATCACTTCCAAAAACACACACCTTGAAAATGCCTCATTTACCAAGGGATTCAAATTTAGTATTTTGGCTTAGCTTCTGAAACTCAACAGCTGAACTGTTTCATTTTACAGGTTCTTTTATATGGACAGATGCAAAGAACTTCATGAAAGAACTTTACTAAAGAACCTTTTGAAAGATATCCACAATATTGATTACACATTTGTCTTTCTGGTGCAATCTCTTGATTAGAAACTCCAGGAACACAGGCACCATCTGTTCTTTTGGTTCATGGAATCCTTAATCTTAATTTTCTCATTGAAGCCTCTATTTTTTCCTCTCTATCCTAGTGGTAAATGATGCACAGCCTGCCTATTATATATAAGGTGGAAGGAACATATCATATGATCATAATATTTCAAATCTGGATGCACCCTTGGATTTCGTTGGGTTTACCTGGACCTATAAGACAAAGTGAAATGGCTAGGTAGAAAAAAGGGAGAGAAAAACAATGGAGGCACAGTTCTGGAAGCGTAAGCCTGAGGTCAACAGTTTAACATCCCCTGGGAAACTATTAGGACTGCACATCCTCAATTCCCAACCAAGCCATTGAATCAGAAACCCAGGGTGGCCAAGTGATAGGTTTTAGGATATCTGCTCACATAGGAGAGCCTACCGGACTGAAGGAGTGGTTTTCAGTGTTGGCTGTGTATTGGGATTAACTAGGAGACTTACAACCTACTGATGCCTGGGTCCTACACCCAAAGTTTGTTTCATTCGGTTGCAGTCAGTGTTCTGGAGGTCTCCAAACTCCACAGCGATACTAATGTGCAGTTAAGATGAAGACCCCCTAAGCTAAGGAAAGCCAAGACAAGATACCAACTTTGTACCTTCTCAGCCCCCAGCAACTACATGGAATAATAATTAAAAGATGGAGCAAAATTCTTCCTACATGAATCATTTCGCTGTGATATTTCAAGAGTAAAGTGCCTAAATCTCACTCAGGAAAGGTATTTCAGATTTGACAAACTGATGATAAAGGTGTTCTTTGCACAATGGAGATAAATTGAATATACATTCCAAACAAGTGCACGCATTTATCAGGGCCAAGTACAAGACGGAGAAAAACTCCTTTCTGTACAATACTTTATAAGTCACGAAGCACAACTTGAAACTCAATGTCATGATGACAACAGCACTGGAACAAATATATTGCTGTGGCTGGACAAGTATGTAGAAAGTGCTGGGAGTTTTTCCCAAATAAATTCCTACTTTCTCAAGTTGTTAGGCCCCAAAAAATACAGAAGTGTAAGTGTCATCATCTTAGACTGTCTTTAATTTCACATATTTCAACTTCTATGGTGATTTATTTCATCAAATAGAATTAGGTCTTTAATTTTTATTCATGGACTTTCATATGCTTTAATTAGACCAACTAGAGGTATAGGTTTTATTATATCATTAGTTTACAAAATTATAAATTAATGGCCAGAGTAAGTCCACCATTATTGAGTCTACCCAAGGATAGTTCACTGACACAAGTTTCCAAAAGAACTGAATTTTTGTATACTTAAGCTGCTAGCAAAACAGCCTTGGAAGTAAATTAAATTTTAGGGATGGTGGTGATTACATAAAGTAGGATACTCTTCAAAGTCTAGAAAATGGAGTAATTTCTGAAGATGCATCTCCATATGAGCAGGTCATTAGTGAAGATGTTAGAAATGCATGAAATGTAAGATAAATTTCAGAGCTGTAAATTAAGATGATGAAGATATGCCAAGTAGAAAGAAAAGTAAGTAATTTTGGCAGAGTTAAGCAGAAATTTCCTGGTGAGACTTAAAAGAGGTTTAAAATCCTTAAAGATTGAAAAGAAAAGAGAGAGAAGATTTAGATGAGTGAATTTTTATTCTCCCTGTGGAGGGAGGAAAAAAATCCCTGCTAGGTTAGAAAAAAAGTATTTGTTTTCATGATTCAAAACTCTAGAAAATAGAAAAAAAATTAATGTAGTAGCTGTGACAATGGCTCAAATACATATAAATGACCCTGAAAATTTAACATTATAACTATTCATTTCTAAATCTATATGCTAAAAATATAGAAATAAATATCATTTTAAAATTTATATACCTATGTGTATATTGACACACATACATATTTGCATACACACACACACTTATTTGATCACCCAGATAAGCAGATAGTGGGGGAAGAAACACATGTGCTTCAAGCCAGGAAGACTTGACTGCAGCTGAGTCATTTTGAACAAGTGTCTTAATTTCTCCGAATCTCAGTTTACTCCCTTAGGGAATGTAGTAATTAATAACTTTCACCCAAAGTAGCTTTGAGGATTAAACAAAATGAAATATGCAGCATGCCTTCAAAGAGACACGTGTGTTGACTATGGATGAGAAAAAGATGCTATCTATATGGTTTAGAAATTTGACGTCTTTAAAAGGGTTGTTCAGCTCTGGTGATCAATTTTTCATAAACAGAATCAGCTCACACTGTTATTTCAAAATAGGTCATGGTCTTAAGTTTGTAATGCAAAACAGTACACCCTGCACATGTCCCTCCAATTTAAGATCTTCATAACAAAGTACTGACCAGGGCTAGACTAGAAACAGGCTCACTCCAGCTCAAGCAGTCACTCAGTTCAGGTACCTAGCTCAAGACCACAGGCTCAGAGATGCCCTTCCTGACTCCCATCACTTTATAACTGTCACATTGTTTTGCTCTTCTTGGAGCAGTTACCCTTTCCTAATTAAGCTGTGCATTTATTTATTCATGTATTTATTGTACACATCTTCAATTAAAATAAAGCTAGATGAGGTCAGGACAGTCTGTCCTGTTTATGCCATATATTTACCTCATGGAACATTTCCTGGTATATCATAAACACACAGAACTATTTGCTGAATAAATACATTAATGTGGCTTGGATGAGTTTTCTTAAAGCTGAAATGGGCATTATAACATTCCCTGCAGGGCAGGAAACTATTTATCTGCTGAAGATAATATATTTCAAAATCATAAAGACATTCATCAATACTGCTATAATTTGAAGACTTTTTACATAAAAAAGTGTTAAAAAATAGTAGCTTGACTCAGCTTCATACAGAGAATCTTAGGCAGTACTGAGAGATGCTGTCCCATCACTGTGGGGTTTTTTTTTTAGTGAAGAGGCTATAGGAATTGCAGCCTCATATAGACGGACTGCACGCAACCAAGAAGTTTCATGAAGGGAATGCAGTCTGTTGCGTCCTCCTACTACACTGAATGGCTAGTCAGCAATTATTTGCTAAATTTGAGGATGCAGAAGCAATACAATGGGAGCAATACATTTTTCTGGTTTAACTATTACACCAGAAGGCCAATTGGCCTTAGTAGCGTATGGGTTGCCAGGTTACTTAGGGCAATAAAATTAGCTTTGGGGATGATGCAAATAGAGACACAACTAAAGAACATAAGATTGGCTTAGAAGCAGTAGCACCATTGATGCCCTGACTCTGTGAAGAGGGCCGGCACTTAATTAGGGATGACCAGAGTCTAAGACCATAATGAAAGATCAAAGAAAGACAACAACCTCTCCAATTGAAATGTACTATGGATTATGATGGGCTGCCCTGGTAGCTCAAGTGGTAAAGAGTCTACCTGCAATGCGGGAGACCCGGGTTCAATCTCTGAGTTGGGAAGATATCCTGGAGAAGGAAATGGCCACCCACTCCAGTATTCTTGCTTGGAAAATCCCATGGATGGAGGAGCCTGGCGGGCTGCAGTCCCTGGGGCCGCAGAGTCAGACACGATTGAATCGTCCTTGAGTGAGAGTGACAGATTATGATAAATACAGCAGAAGGAGCCAAACAGGCAGAGACACCACTGGAGCTGATTTCCAGCATAAAAATTTAGCCTAGGATACATAGGCATTTCAAATTCATGATGGAAGGCCAGACTGCTCAGTAGGGAACCAACTAAAAAGTTAGATCCCTACCTCATACCTGACTGCTTTGAATTACAGATAAACTTGGATCTGAAGGAGAATTCCAGCTCAAAATGGGAATCTGAGCACTTGTGTTTTTCATCTCAGCTTTCTTAGATTTCATTAAAACAACAGCAAAGGATTTTTAAATATTGAAATCCCTTAATAATAAAGAGGGTGAAAAAGAGGGCTGTTAGCAGGTCAGAAATGTCAGAGCTGAGAGACTGAAAGTGAGCTGAAGGCGCAGCTGTGGCAGTTGAGGGAGATGCCTGATCCCGCAGACACGGAAAACTGGAGCACGTATCAACAGTCTTAAAAACGGACCTGGTCTTTGAGTTACCAATTATGTTTCTAAAACTTTATCTTGAGGAAGGAAGCAAGTATACAAATAATCAGTAATACTTGTATAAGTACGTTGAGTTCATTGCTGTTTATGAAAGCTATATTGGAAGGCAATCCAACAGTAAGCATTAAGTTAATTAGATTATTTCCTAACAGTACAGTGGAAACTTTGGTGGCTAATTATATGGATGTTAATTTAATTTGACTGGTAAGCAAAGACCTTCTTGTTACACCTTAGAACGGCCTAAAGGCCTTTCATGATCTAACCCCTTAGACTAGAAGCACCCACAATGGCCTCCTGTCTGGCTACCTGACATGCCCTACCACCCAGCATCCACAAAGTTCACACTGAAATTCATTTTTCTAGAGAGATTCTTCCCACCCACCAATCTAAATGGTCCACATACACTCCTCCACCCAGGTGTCATTGCCCAGAGCATCCTATCCTTTTCCTGCAGAACCTTTCCATGATACTGTTAGTTACATGTTAATATATTTCTATCTGTCTCCCTCACTAGATAGTACATTCCAGAGAGCAAGGCTCATGTCTATTTTGTTTAACATTGTTTTCCCAAACTTAGTGTCAACACCATAGTACCCACTCAGTAAGAATTTACAGACTTAATTACATAATTAACGACATGGAAAAAGTTGATGAAACAAATAAAAGTTTACAATAAAATGGTGCCATATATAGTCTGTGTCTTTAATATATGCACACAAGTATGTAACAGGCACAAAATTCCCACAGAAATAGAGATATACATAACCGTGCTGAATAACTGTCCATGGACAGGATATTTGAGTGATTTTCTTGTTATATTTGCTTATCCGTCTTTCCTACTTTGTACAGGATGAATGAACATATGTTAGTTATGCAAAAAGAGAAAAATAGTTATTAAAATACTTTCAGAGAAAACATTTTATAAATAACATTTGCCAAAAGGCAACTATGTAAGAAAAGCTGTGAGGAAACGCCTTTAGAGACATTTCTTCTGAGGAGGAGGCTCTAATGTGACCTAAATCGCATCGCCTGATGTAAACTGAGAAGCAGTTATGGGTGCTTGAGTGGACACAGATCTGAGCCAACTATTCTACAATCACTACATTTTTCAGCTCGACAGAGCTGTGAGCCTGGCCCTCATCAGTCCCCGATAAGCTAAATTAGGTGAGAATTTAAGGAAAACCCAATATTCCAAGAGCTGACCCTCTAGAATAAAGACAACAGTGGTCCTCTAGGAAGGCAGAAATGGCAAAACAGGGGGATGATTACACAACTGAAGATGCAAAATATTTACAGCCTCTCTATGTTATGATGACTTTTTTCTTCTGTTTGAGGAAAACGGAAAGAATGTGAAAGCAGAAGGAATGGTGAGGCGAGTGCTGGGAATCGGATCACGGCGCTCCTCTCTGGTCTGTCCCGGGAGGAGCACAGCTCCAAAAGACGAGATTTCCACGGAAGGCAAGGGTCCACAATACCGAGGGACGAAGCAGAAAGGGCGAGCAGGCCTAGGCGGCCCGTGATGAAGTCACTCAACAGAGACAGGAGGGCTGACCCTGCGCACCAAGCAAAGCGGGGCTGGAGGCACAGGCGTCCTCAAGCTCCAACAACCACGAGGCTTTGCTGTGCTTCCTATGAGCGGCGGGGCACTGGGGGGACAGCGCCAGCCTGGGACTGCAGCTGAACGCCTAAAGAGGGCTTCCCCATCAAGAGGGACGAGTGGGCAGAAAATCATGGTGTATCACATCAATTATAGTTTCATGATAAGTTTTAAAACACTGAAACATAAGAAAATTTCAATTAGGTTCTTAAAGTCAGTGAGCCCTGAGGCAAAGCCTGCATGCCCTGATGGATGTAGACGAAGAAAGAAGAGGAGAGAGGACATCTCAGAATAGGGGGAAAGAAGGAGACAGCAAACCTGGCTCTCTAGTTGAGCTGATTTCACACAAGAGGGGCTTTGACCAAGCTTCTAATTCAAGTCTACATGGAGAGATAGTATCATTGACCTCCCCAAGAGAGACAGTAGTGCTGAAAATTTGAATGAACCTTTAACAACAACTTAATATTGATGTGTGTTCAGTCACTCACTTATGTCCGACTCTGCAAACTCATGGCCTGTAGCCCGCCAGGCTCCTCTATCCATGGAATTTTCCAAGCAAGAATACTGGAGTGGGTTGCCATTTCCTTCTCCAGAGGATCTTCCCAACCTAGGGATTGAGCCTGGGTCTCCTGTATTGCAGGCAGATTCCTTACCATCTGAGCCACCAGGAAAGCCCATAGAACTGATAATAAATAATTATTGAGAGTACCTCCCCAGCAAAGCTATAATTCTTATGCATAGAAGATGCACACACATTCACAAAAAGACACTCATAGACAGACACATAGACCTGCATTCATACATAGACATACACACAGTCACACACAATCATACAGACACACACATTCACATACAGACATACTTGGACATAGTGTCACACCATCACACAAAGCATTCACACACAGGCGTGTCACACACACTCAGAGGACACATTCATATACAGACTCACAGATACACTGAACATACACACACTCACATTCACACTGAAATATACAATAGATGCCCTCCTTACCTGGGCTTCCAGTATGTTAACTTTTTCTTGCAGATCTTCAATTCTCTTATCTTGTTCTTTTAAATTATTTTTTAAGGCCTCTATCTAAGAATTGAGAAATAGAAATGAAAAAAATCTTGCCAGACAACGGGGAATAGTTCCTTAAGTCAGAAATTGTGCAGGTTTCTGTGGTCAAATAATGTTTATCAAATAAACAAAATTAAATCCCGAGCATTAGCAGACTCAGCAGGCTACAGAAAATAGCAGGACAAATTGGCACCTGGGGACAAGAAAGCACACAGCTGGTGGGATTAAACATTTTCATCTTTAGAAAACCTGTCTAGGCCAAGCTCAGCAGGATGCATCCTGTAGGAAGCAACACGGGTGCTCGTCTGACTCAGCCCCATGCCGCTTCCCTCCTGCAGAAGCAGAGGCCAGTGGATGCGGTGGAAAGCCACAGCCTGGCCTAGGGCAACCCCCTGCAGCGGAGATCTGGTCAACCAGCAGCACGTTAAGGTGAGCCCACTTCGCTTCAGAGAAACAGCATCTGCTAAGAGGCAACATGGGAGTGATGGGGAGGTGGGGTGATGGAGTCCAGGTGAGGCCACAAGAGAGGAAGCACGTGGATTCCAAGGCCACCTCTGCCATTTAACTACTGTGGACCTCAGCCTTCTCATCTGTAAAATGGGATGCCCCTTCCATCCTCCCTGGCTCTCAAGGTGCCAGGACTCAACACTCTGGCCTTTTGGTGAGATCGAGCCAACCAAGTACAAATGCTGCATTTGTGTTAGGAAGGCATTTGAGTTATTTGGAAGGACTCCATTTAGAGACGAATATTACGTAGCAAACAAAAATGAAGGTCTGGTTTTAAGTCTAAAGCAAATTTCCAAATCAGAGCAATATAAATATTGACGTAAATTGAGCGTGCAATTCACCATCCACCTGGCTGCCATCACAATGACCTTTCACCTGTCAAGGTGTTCCCAGTGAAGAAGGGCCAGACCGCGTCCGGGTGCTAACACACCCCCTGTGTAAATTAACCATTTTTCATGAGGTAATGAAAACAGATAATTTCTTCCCTAAGAAAGCTGAATCTCTTAAACTAAAAAAATCTTCTAAAGAACAGTGTACATTACCTGGCTCAGAACACAGTAAAAAAAAAAAAAAAATCACTGAAACCTCTAAAGGGTAAATATAACTTCCCAAATATGTTCATTGAGAACATCACAGGTGTGGGCAAAGAGACAAAAGAGGACACTGAAAACAGAGCCATGTCGCTTGAGAATAACAAGGAAATGTCAGTGGGAAGAAGAATCTCAGTGCTTGTAGAGTCCAGACAAGGCGCGTGTGTTTGGTCTTCTCGATGTAAACATACCATCTGCCAGAGAAACACACTTGATTAACCTGACCTCCTGGATGACGCTGCGCAGGTTCTGATGCTGGGAGTGAATCACAAACTGCAGATGTGAGATCTGCTCCTGGAGGAGGGAAATCTCCTTTTGAAGATCCTGGCAACTGGAAATGCAAAGGAAAAAAGAAAGATTTGCTAATGCATTATACAGCTATTTTTACAGCTGTGCTACCTAGCTCTCCTCACACACTACTCTACTACTGGGCAACGTGTGGGTAGGATGTCTTACGCCAAACAAGACACATGAAGACAAACAGCCACCAAGCAGCCTCTGATTAGCTCAGACATGAACTTGAATGAGAAGATCAGTTCATGTCAAAAGCGCCTCTGTGGCCCCCTGTGACTTCCCTCCTTCCAGCAGGTAGTTGAGTCAAGTTGGACTGAGCCAGATGAAGCCCTTACATAACTAATCTGCCTCACCTATGGGAACACCCAGAGACCTAGCAGCCATACCACACACATGGGATAGTAGGGCACAGGGCCAGGAATCTTCATATATATCAGAAACCAGTTATAATAATCCTTGCCTTTACAGCACTGCAAGATTGTATGGCACACTTTCAGAGGTAAAGTGAATGTGCTTTTGGAAAATGAGTTTTTACAAAGTACTGTTTTATTTTAGCTTATTAAGGTTTTACAATTAGGAGCCAAGATCCAATGCAATCGCAATTCTGACTTTTTATACTCTATAAATATTACAAAGGTCATGGAAATTCACGTGACACTACAGAACTTGTTCTTATTTTTTAAAAAGAGTTTCCATTGTTTTATGTCATGTACTGAAACACTGCTTCTCAAACTTAATATGTATTGTAAGAGCTTATTAAATTGTCAGGAATCTTATTAAATGCATACTCGATCCAATAGGCTGGCGTAGGGCTCTAGGTGTTCCAATGATTTTGACGGTCCATGAGCCAGGCTTTGACTGCTTTGAGTAGGACAATACTAAACACTATGGTTCTCTCAATAATGTTTAATATATAATAAAGTTGCTTAAAACCAAGTAGCTTTCATGCAACTTGCAATATTTAAGACAATCTTAATTTTCCCCTTGTTCAGTCTTATTTAAGAGAGCTTTAAAAAGAATTTGTTTTACTGTAGAAAAAATTGCTATAGAAAAAAACTATAGTAATGTTTGCACAAGTACAAATGATGTATAAAGATAGCCATCATTATTTATCCTGTGTAATGAAATGATTTCTACTATAAAGTGCTGTACAATTACATACCATGTATATGTCACAAAATATACATAAAATATAGTTTGCTATTGTCCACAACATTAAAAATGGAAACAATCTAAATGTTCATCTACAGAAGACTGATAAAACTAATTATGTTATAACTACACCACTTTTATTTTACATTTACATATGTAAAATGCAGAGATAGACCAACAATTTATATCAAAGATGATGCTACAGAATATTATTTTTTAAAAAAAGATGGTATTTTCAACAAATGATATTGTGATAACTGGATACTCACAGGAAAAAAAGAAAAAGGAGATTAATCCTAACTTCACCTCATCAGAAAGTGAAGAAGAACTAAAAAGCCTCTTGATGAAAGTTAAAGAGGAGAGTGAAAAAGTTGGCTTAAAGCTCAACATTCAGAAANCAAAGAGTTGACTCATTGGAAAAGACCCTGATGCTTGGAGGGATTCGGGGCAGGAGGAGAAGGGGAGACAGAGGATGAGATGGCTGGATGGCATCACCAACTCGATGGACATGAGTTTGAGTAGACTCCAGGAGTTGGTGATGGACAGGGAGGCCTGGTGTGCTGTGATTCATGGGGTTGCAAAGAGTCGGACACGACTGAGTGACTGGACTGAACACCTCATCAAAAAAAAAAAATTCTATGGAAGATAAAACTGGGGACCCAAAAAAATTTCAGAAGATAATATAGAAGAGTATTTTAATGAATTTGGAATACAGAAAGATTGTTAAAATCCTGGATTGGCAAAAAAGTTCATTTCGGTTTTTCCATATGAACTTTTTGGCCAACCCAATAGGACTCAGAACAGTACTAACTGCAAAGGAAAAGACTAATAAGTTTGACTAGACAAAAACTTAAAACTACTGCTCATCAAATGAAAGTTGATCAGATAGCCTCAGAATCTCAGTAACATAAATGAATAATAAAGGCACTGTATCCAAAATATATAACGAGCATCTATAAAGCAAGGGCACGGGAACTCAGCAGAAAAATTAGAAAGTGACTTGAAGCACTTCACAAAAAAGATGAGTTGTGGATATATGGATCAAAGAGGCACAGAAGGCAAACAGAAATCTGGCCGATAGCTGGTTCTCTTCTCTCTTCTTCAGAGAGAAGAGAAAGAAAGAGAAAAGAAAAGAAAAGAGGGAAAGAGCAGTCAGACTCAGGACTTTCCTGGGGGATAATGAGAAAGAACTTGAATAATTTGCACAGCCAGGCTGGCTTTAAAAATCCATAAAATATGAAAATACTGTATATTAGTAAAGGTAAGTATTCAAAATGGTCTGATTTTGTCTTATGATGACCCAGAACTTAAGGACCAAATGCGAAAAGTGTTTAGAAGGATGGGGATAGGTAGATATGCTCCTCAAAATATAAAACTTGGGAAATTTCCCTGTGTATTTCACAAGAATATTACTATCAAGCTCATCATAGATAAATAAAAATCAAAAATAGGTCTTAAGATGGAAGAAAAGTGTTTCTGGAAGCACTCTTGAAAGTGTAGGGCTTTCAGAATTATCTGCGTTATACACTAGAACAGTGATTAAAGGACGCTGCAAAAAAAAAAAAAAATCCCTTAAGCTTGTTCAATAAACATAAAACACAGTCATCCATTTAAGGTCTTTAAATGTGAGAATATACTAAATAAGCCACCATTTGAGCTCCCTTTAATCACTGTTATTTATCTTTCAGTTGAAGCACTCAGTCTTAATATTAAGATGTACTAAAGCAAAATATCAAGAAGAAATCTAACACAGACCAGGCCTAGGAAAGGAGGACAAATGTCTGTATCCAGGATTTATCTGCCTCCCAATGACTCAATATAAATACAAACTCAGTGCTGAAATTAAAATAAAACTGAAAAACTTCCCACTTCCAGGAAGATTCAGAAGATGTAGTTTTTCCCCACTCTTCCCAGTAAGTACAACCCCAAACCTGAACATTATATATAAACAAAAGTAAGAAGAAAGATGAGGCTTCCCAGGTGGCTCAGTGGTAAAGAATCTGCCTGCAATGTAGGAGCCACAGGAGACACACGTTCGATCCCTGGGTCAGGAAGATCCCCTAGAGGAGGGAATGACAACCCACTGCAGTATTCTTGCTGGGACAATCCCATGGACAGAGCCTGGTGGGCTACAGTCCATGGAGTTGCAAACAGTCAGACACAACTGAGCACATATGTACGTAAGAAAGATGGAGAGAAAAGGGAAGACTGGTTCAGGACCCTGGGATCCAGGGAGCAACATTAAGGATGAGTTCTTGGGGTTTTCTTTTTGAACATCCCAGGCTTGGAGCTGAGAAAGTCCACAGCCTGGGAATGGCAACGGCAGCAGACTAAAAAGCCCCAATTAAAAGAGAGGAAAATCTTGGCTCTATCCTGATGAAAAAGGGAACTGAGGATGCTCTCTCAGTTTACCATGCAGAGAGAGAGTGAACAGAGTACCATTTCTGGTCTTCTTCATGATAGATTCCTTACTGTGCAAGAAAGGAAGTTAACCCTCTCTTTGACTTGCAGAAACATGAAAACAAACAGTTTTGTCTTTCGTAACATGGGATGACCACATAATAAGTACGAGGTGAGAAGCAAATCCGCAATCTCTCTGTTGGCCAATGTCTGCCAAAGATTTGGTCAAAGGAAATTGAGGTCATGGAGGACTGTCTCTCTGTCCAATTGTCAGGATACTTTAAAATCTATTTAGGGGTTAACTTCCACCATCCGAGGTAGCATTATTGAACTTTTTCATTTGTCTTCTGCTGCTCACTGTGAGTATGGCTTTGATTGAATTATTCTCTGACATCATGCTCTCCTTTTTAAAAGCATTTTGTGAGGTACAGCTTCTGTGTTTACTCTAAGGATTCAGTTGAACACGTTGTTCATGGTGCTTTCTATGAGCAAATCCTAGAAACTGTTCTCTCTTCTCTTATAGACATTTTTTTTTTTTTTTAAAAAAGAGACTTCTCCCAAAGAACTGGTTGGTTTTGGTCACATGGACATGGTGAATCACAAAACTAATCAGTTTCCTCATTGGGTTGGCTGCTAGAAAATTTAAACTTAAGTCAATGGACCACTGTGAGGAGGTATATAGCGCTTCCTGGTACACATTTTGTGAATTAACCTCATTATATCCTGCTCTTGTATCTCCCTGATTTCCTCATCTAATTTACTTCCAGTTAAAGGATTGTTATGTTATGTAGTTTTATACACAATCTTACATTTCTTAGAATTCAGGGGACATAAATATACAATTACAAAGAGTATGAAGCGCATGATAGTGGCCACATTTACATAGTCTCAGAAGATTGCACTTTTAAATTCTCATAAAGCATGTACAAGTCTGTCTAGTCAAAGCTATGGTTTTTCCAGTGGTCCATGTAAGGATGTGAGAGTTGGACTATAAAGAAAGCTGAGAACCGAAGAATTGATGTTTTTGAACTGTGTTGTTGGAGAAGACTCTTGAGAGTCCCTCGGACTGCAAGGAGATCAAATCAGTACATCCTAAAGGAAATCAGTCCTGAATATTCATTGGAAGGACTGATGTTGAAGCTGAAACTCCAATACTTTTGTCCACCTGATGCGAAGAACCGACTCATTGGAAAAGATCCTGATGCTGGGAAAGATTGAGGGCAGGAGGAGAAGGGGACGACAGAGGATAAGATGGTTGGATGGCATCACTGATTTGATGGACATGAGTTTGAGCAAGCCCTGGGAGTTGGTGATGGACAGAGAAGCCTGGCGTGCTGCAGTTCATGGGGTTTGCAAAGAGTTGGACATGACTGAGGGACTGAACTGAAAGCACACTTATTACCCGGGGTTAATACACTATGATATTTAGAGGAATGAAACTTCCAGAGGACATATAAAGGGCTAGGTGCTGAGATACAAGCAGAATGCAGGGAAAGTGGCAACTGAAATTACGTTGCATATATCAAGATGCCGCTGCTTCTGGGCACCTGCCACATATTCAAACACTGGGAACATTAATAATCCAACATGGAATTCCCACTAGAGAAAGAAGATAGTGAGATCAGTGGCATCCTGGAGCTTCTTTGAAACTGAAAGAATCACACTAGAATCTACAGGGACTCAGGTTTCCTGCTGTTTAGGATCTGATGCTTCTTCGGACCTTTATGGAGGCCATCATGAAACGAGAGTCCTCAATAGAAGAGAGGATCACAGCCAGAAGAACAGGGGAGGCCAGGTCCTTACCTTTCCCAGGCCAGACCACGGTGAAAGAATAAGCTAAAGCGTGGGTATAGCTCTGCTCACATTTCAACCAAACTCAGAAATTTCCATTTCTATTGCTGGTCAAAATCTTCCCCATTGTCATTTTCAGTGGTGGCACTCAGTAGGGCAGGGAGGCTTAAAAGAACCCTAAAAACTACCGTTGGTAACAAAAGTATGCTTTAACACTCAACCATGGGACTTCCTTGGTGGTCCAGGGGTTAAGACTCTGCCTCGCAAGGCATGGGATGCGTGTTCGATCTCTGGTCTGGAAACTAAGATCCCATATACATCTAACCAAGCCTGTGTGCTGCAGTGAAATGTCCAGCATGACACAACGAAGATTCTGGGTGCTGCCACCAAGACCCGATGCAGCCAAGTAAATAAATAGTTTAAAAAAATACATAACCACATCTTCAAGATACCCTGTTTCCTCCTCTAAGGAACGTGCCATCCTTGAGCAGCTTCTGTAGATACGGAGAAGCCAACACACTCCTTATCTTAACTCCCAATGTGTTTCCCTGAAGCATAACTCTAAAATGGGTCTGTGTGTTTGTCTGAGATGTCACAGGGCAGAGAGAGAAGTTGGAAAGCTGCCTTCTGCTCACAGCCACACAGACTCAGGAAACCAGTCTGAGAGAAGGTCTCTGGAGTCTCCTGAGAAAGTCAGTTCTCCTCTATGGAAGGAGCCACAGGGTTTCCTATGGCAATACTAGAGCCTAACTCCCAGCCCTACAAGTTCTGGAAGGTGGAGTAATCTTGACACATCAAGCAACCAATTGGAAGCTCTGTTTACTTATGGAAGGAAAATGGAAAGATCAAATTAAATAAGGTATCTGAGGTTACTTTAAAAACTGAAAGGTGCATCCACGTGTCAATTAGTACTGACAGTAGTAGAAATATGGAGTGAACCTTGTTTTTAAGATGCTTCTGCCAAAACTTTTAACTCTTGTTAAAAGTAATTGTGAGGATTAGCTTACTATAATGATATATACATATTCACATAAGGCTGAGCACTGAAGACTTGATGCTTTTGAATTGCACTGCTGGAGAGTCCCTTGGACTGCAAGGAGATCAAACCAGTCCANCAACCAGTCCATCCTAAAGGATGTTAGTCCTGACTATTCATTGGAAGGACTGATGCTTAAGCTGAAGCTCCAATACTCTGGCCACCTGATGCAAAGAACTGACTCATTGGAAAAGACCTTGATGCTGGAAAGATTGAAGGCAGGAGAAGAAGGGGGCAACAGAGGATGAGATGGTTGGATGGCATCATTGGCTCAATGCACATGAATTTGAGCAAACTCTGGGAGATAGTGAAGGACAGGGAAGTCTGGTGTGTAGCAACCCATGGGGTTGCTAAGAGTCAGACACGACTTCTTCCTTTTATGCAAGAAAAAGCTTTTTCTTCTGAATTACAAAAGTTTAAAAGTTATCATCCTCTGAGATGCTTTCTAACATTAGAAATGCCAAGTTCCAATATACTAAGTCTTTTATATCTTTATCAAAATGATAGAATGACGCTCACTGCAATTCAAGAAAATCATGGCACCTATCTAACTCACTATCTATGTTTAAGGGAAGTTAAATCACCCAAGCTACCAAATCAAATTTGGTGATTTGATTAAAGCACCAAATCGCCCACAGCTGCTTCCTTGCCCCCTAGAGAAGCAGGCCTAGGCTATTCCTTGAATAAGTGGAGATCACCCACAAGATTGGGAGGGGGCACCTGCCACAGGCTACTGGTTAGATATTCCTGTAGGTGTTGGTCAGCATGTTCAATCTGACCAGAACAGGAAGTAGTATTAGGCCAATCAGAATCTTTCCTCTGGAATTTGAAAGGAAGAGATGGTGGGAAAAGGTAATGAATCATCCAAGAAGAACAAAGAACAACAAAAGAGTGAAACTGCATAAATACACATTGCTAAGCAGGGTCAACAAAATAACCTGATTTTTCAAATCACATTAGGTGCTAAAGAGTGGTCTTCCTGTCTTCCCATGAGTACATCTTCTTTATAGCCATATCTATCCAGTGTTAATCTTGAACAGAAATCCTTGATGCTAGCTTAACCAAGTCCGTTGCTTTAACCAAAAGAATCTGACTCATACTAATTTCGTTTTCTTGTCACTTAGCAAAGTGAATACCTCCACACACAGCTCGAAGTAACAAGTAAAACAAATATTTGTGATACCTACAATTTATGAAAACTGCACAAGCCAGGACGTTCAATACCTTTCTGGAAACACAAAACATCCATTTCCCTCAAGATATTTTTAAAACGTCAAGAGCTTTTTGAGAGTTCTTTATCATGATGGCTCATATATAATAGAACTGAAAGAACAGATCAGTTTGGTTTTTAAAATGGTTACATTTTTGGCTCAAACACTAACAAAACCTCTATTATCCATTAAAAAAAACTATTTTTAAAGAAAAAAATCAAACAAATTGTCTGTACTTTTAATGGAAGGCACATTGTACCACCTGTAGTTTCACTGCATGGAAAAGCTGTCTTTAGAAAAAAAGAGGTAAGCCAAAAATTTACTTAGAGTTAAATTATGAGTAAATAAAAGTAATTTCAAAGATTTATGGATATTTTTCATAGTATTTTCTTCCTTATCTACAGAGATGTGTGTAGGCTGTTGTGTTGTGCTCATTTGTGTCCGACTCTTTGCAACCCCACGGACTGTAGCCCACCAGGCTCCTCTCTCTGTGGGATTTCCCAGGCAAGAATACTGGAGTGAGTTGACATTTCCTCCTCTGAGGGATCTTCCCAACCCAGGGACTGAGCCCACATCTCTTGCGTCTTCTGCACTGACAGGCAGAGTCTTGACCACTGCACCACCTAGGAAGACCTACCTAGAAGTTAGGGATGTGCAGTGCTACAGAGCTTAGCAATCCACCTTCTGGGGCTAGATGCTTGTTCGCAGGCATTCAGGGAAATTGATATTAGTGGTATCACAGTGTGTTTCAAACATGTAGGTACAGGGTCAGTCCAAAATTGTCAGGGTCAGTCCAGTTCTGGACTTTGGCTTCTGTGGTCCAATGAAGAGAAAGAGATAACAGGGAAACAAAAGGAAATAGGAAAAAAAGTCAAAGGACCAAGAGAAACTGATGTTTGAGTGTAAGTTATTAAATGAGAAAAAGAATGTGCACACTTTGAGATTCATAATAGTGCCCAGTGCAATAGTTCTAGATGGATGAACTATGATCTTGAAACAGATTGAACTTTGAAAGTTATATCAGAATATATAATGATTGTGGAAGGTTAAGAATTAAAAGAAAAGAAAGGAAATGAAAAGAAAAGGTTCAGGAAATTTCATATAATACCATTTATTCTATCATATTTTGGAGAATTTTTCGAATAGCAGCCAAGCAGTCAAGCCATTTGATATCCATAAACCCATAAATCCACCCTCACCCCTAGCACACCAAGGACCAGCACACCAAATGAATATTTGTAAGTAAGTCCCAAGAACTAAGGATGCTTTTCACAGTAGTTTCTTCATTCTCCACAAAGTTGGGAGCATGACAAAACCATCTTATAATTGCACTTGTGGGCTAGCTAATTTAATGCCAGCTGAAGCAGAGATCCATAACCAAATCAGAAGCATCAGGTGAAGGGAGACCTCAACAGCAATCAGTTCAGCACCAGGGGAGAGGACAGGCTCATTTACTCTTCGGAAGGATCAATGGCCCCCTCCTCACACACACTTCCGTCTCCCTGTACCCGCAGTGACCTCTGGGTCCTTCCTGATCCCCCGGGAGCTAGAAAGGAAGAGACGCGTGGCAGTTAATGCGAAGAAATCTCCCTTCCTCACGCACTCTCAGGCTTCCTTTCTCCTGTGGGCTAGGAGCCTTCTATCTGCTCAGTGGACCAGAGGAGAGAAAATACACCAGGAAATGCTTTTACTTCGGAGGTAGATTTGCAAACCTTTTAGCATTTGTAGCGCTGGATTTGAGATGCAGCAGCTTGTTTTCCAAAGACAGCTTTTTTTCTAGCAGTGTTCTCTTTTCCTAGGAGAAAATAAGATACAATTTTTGCTTATTTCTTGTCCTTGGTGTGTGTGTGTGTTTCGCAAGGCATTCTTGCAAACTGTTCACTAAAGATGCTTCTTGTAATACCAGAAGTACATTTTGAACTCAAGAGTTAATTTCATACGGAGCTGTTACAGTCCACCCCAGTGGTCCAGGCAGGCATTCTCCTGTATGGTTTCAACTCAGTACCGTTCAGTCGCTCAGTCGTGTCCGACTCTTTGCGAATGGACTGCAGCACGCCAGGCCTCCCTGTCCATCACCAGCTCCCGGAGCTTGCTCAAACTCATGTGCATTGAGTCGGTGATGCCATCCAACCATCTCATCCTCTGTCGTCCCTTTACAAGTAGCTGCACGACAGGTCAAGACTAGGTGTCTTCACCGCCCTCCATTGTCTGGAGACCTTGGCTCCTTCCCTAGCCCACTTCTCGGTCAAACTTCTCTTGTGTCTCTCCATCCCACCCCAAACGCTAACTGCTCATCTCTCTCTAGGCACTGGTTCTCCCATCGTTCCACCTGCTTCTCCTACATTAGTCTCAGTTTGGTATCCAAGGACACTGTTGCGCTGGTCTCGATACCCAGCTCTCACATGGCAACTGTCAGAAGGTACAAAAGTAGTAAATGTATTTTTAGTGAAGGCGCAAAGCCACAAGTGATAGAGTCACTTCCTAATTAGGATGGAACAGAAATTTTGACATTTTGAAAGAATACCTAAAGAAATGTCTTAATGTCATTATTAAACCAAACTCCATCCAAGAGGAAAACAGACACACCCATGAAAAACGAAGCTGTCGTGACTGTACTCTTTTTCACATTTCATGGAAATAGATGTTTTGACACTATTTGCAATGCTGGTTAAAATCATACCTTCTGCAGACTCTGCAAACTACAAGACAGGCATTGTAGCAGAAAGATCAGAATGTCTTTGGACACGGACTGACCTGGTTTTGAAACCTGGTGACTATAACTTTTGCCAAGGCTTTAACTTCTCTAGTTCTTATCACAAGAAAAATTAACCAAAAATTATGGCTCAACATACATGATCTTAATGTCATATTGGGTCATTGTTTCATAACCTGACCCAAGGAATTTTTTTAATTCTCTTGGAGAATTTCTTTGTGTTTGACTTTAGTATTTATTATTTGATTAGAACCCTGAGTTTGTGAAGTTGCATGTTAATTTGTGGGTTTCTGACTGGTAGAAAAGTAATTCCAAAGGTTACGGTTTCTTCCCTTAAAGAATATTAACTACTTTTGTATCTAACCCAGTAATCCTATCCTATGTTCTTTTTTTCAAAATGCATGTAAATAGCCAATTTCAAAAAATATTTTATTTAAATCAGCTTTACCATCTTACTGGTTCCTTCATTACATAGGGAGTTGAATAAAACATCTGACATGTATTCATTCTATATCTGAGTCATTTTTTTGACTTTTTGAACATCCCTAAAATGAGACTAATACTACCTACATTGAAATGTTGGGATGATTGGGGATGTATGTGAAAGGTCCACATGCTTTTCTGGAACATATTAGAACCTCAATATATAATAATTTGAAGATGCCAAGTACATCATATCTTATGTTGTGCTGTTATTTTTAAAATTTATACCAGCTTTTTCAAAACTCTTCTGTGGCATTCTGGTTTTATATACATATACATGTATATTGTTCTGGTGTAGTCCTAGTTGATCTGAGAGAACAAGATACTCTGAAAGTTTATTATGATATTTGGATCACCAAAGGAACATATCACTTATAATACTTTGAATTTATAGGAATAAAAATGGTGTTTTAACTAACGTTCTTCCTAATGGACTTACTCTCCATTAATGGATCTTTATAACAAGGGCTTAAGGAGACCAGACAGCTAGACAAGCAAATATTCCACCTCGGTCAAGGCTTGAGTATTTAGCTTGAAATTTTTTTTTTTAATATTTACTTTATATTTGAGTATAGTTGATTTACAATGTTGTGTTAGTTTCAGGTGTAAAGTGGTTCAGTTATACATATATCCATTCTTTTTCATATTATTTTCCTGGGTAGGTTATTATGGAATATTGAGCAGAATTCCCTGTGCTATACAGTAGGTTCTTGAAGCTTGGACTCTTAATGTTTCCTTTCTGGCGACAGGGAAGATGACATTACACCAGTTAGCACTTTTCACTTTTCAGAGACAGTATTTCTGGAAAGGAAAGCATCCACAGCGCCACCCAGTGGACAATACACTTTTGCCCAAACCACACCTCTGAAGAGCTCGCGTTCCCTCACCCTATTTACTGAAGACAGCTTCCCTGATAGCTCAGTTGGTAAAGAATCCACCTGCAGTGCAGGAGACCCCGGTTCGATTCCTGGGTCAGGAAGACCCCCTGGAGAAGGGATAGGCTACCCACTGAAGTATTCTTGTTGTGGCTCAGCTGGTAAAGAATCTGCCTGCAATGTGGGAGGCCTGGGTTCCATCCCTGGGCTGGGAAGATCCCCTGGAGAAGGGAAAGCCTGTCCACTCTATTCTGGCCTGGAGAATTCCATGGACTGTCCACTCTATTCTGGCCTGGAGAATTCCATGGACTATACAGTCCATGGGATCACAAAGGGCTTGACACAGCTGAGCGACTTTCACTTCACCACTTCATTTATTGATCAAGGTGAAGTGGACACCAATTTAAATCATTGCCATATGTTAACATCTAAATGATTCCAGAATCACGGATATCCTTTTTATCCCACATCAGAGAAGCTGGGGGCCTAACAGAAAGGATTGTAAACTGCTAACTGGTGGACTGTGGAATAGTTCCTTGTTCACACGGTCCTCGTTTATAAAATGATGATGAGGAATTAGCTGGTCTCAAAAGCACCTCTGAGCTCTAAAATTCTAATAGAGCTAAATCAATGACACTGGAAAACAAATACTATGCCACAGTAGTGCACGGCTAGCCAAAGGAACATATGCCATGTTAAAATGCTCTTATTGGGCGCTTTTGCTGGCTTATCACTGTGTTTATGGAATTCATTCTCACTGCATTCCTGATTAAAGTGGGACAGATGGTGAAGGTTTTAAGTAATGTGTTCATTACCAGACCTCATGCCACTAATGGCTATTTACTGGAGCAGCGGCTTGTGCAAGTGAGTAGAAAATGAATCCTTCTCCAGGGGGGTGCTCATCACCAGGGCAGTATTTACCAACCTTTGTTGGGGATGTTCATTTTTAATTTTCATTTCTTTTTGAACGCATGTCTTTTTCTTATTAATACTAAGATATTAAGAGTAACCCTTCCTCATTCTGATACACGCTCCCCTCCTGAGAAACCCTTCATCACAGCCTGTATTGCTCAGTATCTCCTTAAAACAAGAAGCTACCAAGCTTTGCTTCTTATATTTGTTTGATCACTTTACAAATATAATGTATCCTTAAACTAAGCATGTTAAAAAACATTCTTTCACATTTTCTTCCCACTGTATCCCCATCTACCTCCACCTCCCAGAGATCCCCAAGGACTCTGCTTTAGGAAGTCACTGAACTAGAATGTTCTGGAAGTTTCCTGCATGGCCTTCCTGAACCTTAGGCGTCCTGTCCACCTACTGTGTCACAAAGCTCCTCGAGAGAGCTCTCCATTAAGGGTCAAAATCAAGACGAATGCGAGGCCATCACTTCTCAAAATGTCTGCCAGAATCTAAGCTGCTTAACCTTATTCTGGGGTCTGTTCCCCTGCTTTCAGTATGATGACAGCTTCCCTGAGGACGCCTGTGAGAATGAGTGAAAGGAGGGCTGGGAAGTTCCTGGAGTCTCACACAACCCAGATACATTATATTGCAATCTCCACAAAGAGACAGTATCCAGTCCACTCCAAATAGATATCTAGCCCCTAGCTCTGCCTGGTACGTGGTAGGAGCTCAAATATTTGTTGAATATATAGTGCAGTGAATATACCCCAGAATTCTGAGATGACCTCACATCCAGGGCAGATTTCCCTGGGTTTCCAGAAGACAGAAATTACGTTCCATTATTTTTTGTTAATTTTCAGGGACTGACAGCTGGCCACTAAACATGATCCAGTGCTACTGGGTTTGAGGTGATTGCGAACCTAAATTTAAATATCAAGCTGGTTAATCAAGTAGTTAAATTAAGCAACTCTATTTGAATTGAGGTAAGGAATTGTTTTCCCTTCCTCAATGCAAATGTTCCTTGTGCTTAGTTTGCCAAACAATTTTGTTATTATTTAGTCGCTAAGTCATGTCCAACTCTTTGTGACCCCATGGAGTATAGCCTGTCAGGCTCCTCTGTCGATGGGATTTTATTAGAGGACGAATATTCTTTTTAAAAAAGCTTTTTATTTTGTACTGGACTACAGCCAGTTAGCAATGTGATAGTTTCGTGTGGACTGTAAAGGGATTCAGCCATATATATATATTTACACACATGTATCCATTCTCCCCAAACTCCCCTCCCATCCAGGCTGCCACATAACACTGAGCAGAGCTCCTTAGACTTTACACTAGGTCCTTGCTAGTTGTCCATTTTCAATGTATAGCAGTGTGTATATGTCAGTCCCAAACTCCCTAATTACCCCTTCCCCGTCCTCGCCCCATCCTGGAACCATAAGTTCATTTTTTAAGCCTATGAGTCTGTTTCTGTTTTGTGAATAAGTTCATTTGCATCATTTCTTTTCAGGTTCTGCATATAAGGGATGCCATACGCTACTTCTCCTTCTCTGTCTGACTTACTTCACTCAGTATGATCTCTAGGCCCATCCATGTTGCTCTAAATGGTTTATTTCATTCTTTATAATGTCTGGGTGATACTCCATTGTATATATGTACCATATCTTCTTTATCTATTTGCAGGATAAATATTCTAGCACTGCAAAGTATTCATCCAAACATTCCAGTTTGTCCAAAACATCTAACTTATAAAGTGTTATATGTGGGCAAACCAGCTACTTGAGGACATTCCAGCCCTGTGATTTTGGCTAAAGTAAAACACTGAACATCACCCACCGTGCAACACAAATGTAGATGTAGATTATTATTACTAGATTCAGTTAAGTTTAGGCTTCTAAGCAAGGTCCTCATAGGACCTTCATTAAGATCACAAATTCAGCCAAACTCACAGATATAAATTAAGTTCTTAGGAAATATGTAAACAATTGATCAAACTTTTTTTCAGGCAAATATCCTGAATGTTGAAATGTGATGCTTTGGAAGTGACATTTCTAGGAAAGGGAAAGTCACTCAGTCATGTCCGACTCTTTGCAACCCAATGGACTGTAGCCGTCAGGCTCCTCTGTCCATGGAATTCTCCAGGCAAGAATACTAGAGTGGGTAGCTGTTCCCTTCTCCAGGGGATCTTCCTGACCCAGGGATTGAGCCCAGGTCTCCTGTATTGCAGGCGGATTCTTTACCAAGCCCCCAGGGAAGCCCTAACATTTCTAAAATAGCCTCAATTCAAGCAGATTCATAAAACAAAATAAGGCTGAGAAGAGTGGAGGCAAATTGGCAAATTCATATAATAAATATGAAAACGTATTGAGAAGAGGGGAGCAGAGGATGAGATGGTTCGACAGCACCATCATCAATGGACACGAATCTGCAAATTCCAGGAGCGCGTGAAGGACAGAGACTCAGTGGACATGAATTTGAGCAAACTTTGGGATGAAGGACAGAGGAGCCTGGCACGCTGCAGTCCGTGGGGTCAGAGTCTCGACTGGACAATGACAACAACATTGGGCAATACTTACCAAAAGTTAAAAAAGTCCGTATTCTTATCTACTTTAACTCAAAGATGCCAACTGTCTATTGGTTTATTATTAAAAAATATCCCATGGCTTGTCTGAATTCTGAATTCTAAGGCATGCCAAATGAAATGTATGTGCTCACTTTTTGTGGAGGGCCAGCTACTTAAAGGAGTGCTGCATAAAACTTTTAATAATTTTTGTTCTATTAGTATTCTTCCCTAAATCGTCTCTTTCGAAAGTTACAATTTCCATAGAATGTCTTTTCTTATTTGTGAACTATGTCTGTCCTATGCCAGGCGTAGGTTTTTACAAACCTAAAGGGAACACGGTTGGCCAAAAATAAACCCTCTACTGACTAGTACATAGTGCTTACGATTGCAGGGATTCACTACACTATTACTAGTAGTAGATGGACTTTGTGATCTTTTCCATTATTTCTATTCATGGCCTCACCTAGTTCCCCTTTCTCAGCCATACATTTACTGGGAAAAAAAGTGACAGATAATATGACTGCAGTGTTTGTAAAAGGGTAAATCAGTAACTACGACACACATCATATTAAATGTGTAAGGCAAGAAACGAACACATTCTAAGATCTTCAGCTACAAAGAGTACTTTCACTTCATGCTACTTATTTTCATATTATTTTCATTCATTCTCATCCTAACCATGTCACGAAGAAGTGCCTTTAATTCTCCAAGGGCCTACCTTTTCCATTCTCTGTATAAGATTCTCCAACTCTGCAATTTGATTATGTTTTTCTTCAAGCTTCTCAGCCATTTGATCCAGATTTTCAACATGTTGTTTCAATTTCTGTTCTTTTTCAAGTTTGTCAACCTTTGGTTAGAAAATCAATTGTCAGACCATTGTTTTAACTAAACTTATACAGATATTATCCCTTGCTGTAATTTATATATCTATATATAAATTAATAATTTACACATGTTTAGAATTACTTCTGTGAATTCAGCCTTTCTTTAAAATAAACTTGGTAGACTACAACAACACTAAGTCAATGGAGAATTAATAATACATAAATATTATTTCTAGAAGTTGATATTTGTTACTAAAAAGCATCCTCTCTGAAAGAGGGACAGAAAGAAAATACAGTGATTTTAAAAAAGCAACACTTTTGAATTTTTCTCAATAAAACTTCCATAGAACAAAACCAAGATCTTATGTATTCAAGTAAAAAATGTTCTATTTTTAATCAGAAATTGTCATAAAAGCGGAATATTTATCTCCACGGTGTCAGGGGGTTATCTCTGAGCCACTGAGCCTAAAGTCTTTCATTCTCTGTATAAGATTCTCCAACTCTGCAATTTGATTATGTTTTTCTTCAAGCTTCTCAGCCATTTGATCCAGATTTTCAACATGTTGTTTCAATTTCTGTTCTTTTTCAAGTTTGTCAACCTTTGGTTAGAAAATCAATTGTCAGACCATTGTTTTAACTAAACTTATACAGATATTATCCCTTGCTGTAATTTATATATCTATATATAAATTAATAATTTACACATGTTTAGAATTACTTCTGTGAATTCAGCCTTTCTTTAAAATAAACTTGGTAGACTACAACAACACTAAGTCAATGGAGAATTAATAATACATAAATATTACTTCTAGAAGTTGATATTTGTTACTAAAAAGCATCCTCTCTGAAAGAGAGACAGAAAGAAAAGACAGTGATTTTAAAAAAGCAACACTTTTGAATTTTTCTCAACAAAACTTCCATAGAACAAAACCAAGATCTTATGTATTCAAGTAAAAAATGTTCTATTTTTAATCAGAAATTGTCATAAAAGCGGAATATTTATCTCCACGGTGTCAGGGGGTTATCTCTGAGCCACTGAGCCTAAAGTCTTCAGCAGACACGCCCTAGGCCACACATGGGAGTGTTCCAACTGACTTACAGCTGACATGAGTGCACACATCTGCTTCTGTATTTAATAGGACTTGAGATTTTTCCATGTGAAAAAAAAAAAGGAGTGTCTGATTTCCCTCGAACACAATAGGTGGGCATTCCTGCCCTGGAAGTCCAGGTTGGGCAGAGTCCCTTTTGCAGGGACAGGGGCACTTCCGTCCACCTGCTCACTCGTTCACTTAGGTACTTCCCCCCGCACCCTGCATGCCTACGAGTCTGTGACCATCACCCCCAGGGCCAGAAGCTTGAGGGTGTGTCACCTAGGCAGTGGGTTTCCTACCATGCTCCCCGGGGCCTTCCTAGGGCCGGAGCTGGCAGAGACTCAGATGCCCCACTCAAGCCTGAATGAGCTTTCCTGTTTTAAGTTTTGACAAACACACATACACACATTTCCCATCTTCCCCAGTCCTGGATACATTCTCCAGATATAGTTTTATTGGTTTTAGGATACACCGTTCAGGTTTAAAAACAAACAAAAGTGTATGTGTATGATATACAGACATTCATATAATATTATATGATTTTAATGTATATATGCATATGTTAAAATATAGAAATATAAAATATAATTTAATATGAAATATATATGTACATATATACATTCTTTTGTTTCCTCTGAAGAATCTTTCCAGGACCAAAACAATTTTGAACCTATTTATCAAGCCCAACTTTTTCATTAAAAAAAATTTTTTTTTAAATATTTATTTAGCTAGTTAATTAATTTGGCTGCACCAGGTCTTAGATGTGACACGCAAGATCTTTGGCTACAGCATGTGGACTCTTAGCTGCATGTGAGTATGTGGGATCCAGTTCCCTGACCAGGGATTGAACCTGGGCCCCCTGTATTGGAAGTACAGTCTTAGCCACTGGACCCCCAGGGAAGTCCCCCAACTTTTTCATTTTAAAGTCCAGAGAGACAGAATGACTCAAACGGGGTCCCCTAGTTAGCCAAAGGCAGAACCAGAAGAGAAGCCACTGGCCCGTGTCGTGGGGCCAGCCCTGATTTCTAGGCTGACTGGCATGGCCTCTCTCCCGCCGGCATTCTGCAGGGCTCTGGGCAAGGGGGGCAACAGAGCCCTTGGCCGCATCCAGGTACCAAGTACCAGGGCTGGGGGGAGGCCAGGGCAGAAGACGGGCACACTGCCCTTCCCGGGGCCTGCCTAGTCATGTGGCCCTTGCTTGTTTCACATCTAACTCCTCCCTAAAAGGGAAACTCGGACAACTTGGGGGTTAGTTCAGTCGGCAAGCTGCTAGCTCAGTACCTGGAGGAAGTGCCGACTGTCCTCATGCTTTTTTCTAACTTCTTCAGACTGGGTTTGATAGTTTTCCAATAATCTCTGGGCCACATTTCTCAGAGCCGCTGCTCCTGCTTCTCTGGAGGCTTCGAGCTGGAAACAAAAGGTCACCGTGTGCGCTTTGGCATGAACAATAAGGGTTACGGACAGGGCAGTTTGAGGGGCAACCAAACACAGTCTGCAGCCATGCCATTTGCACCTTCATAGACAATGGCTAGGGGGAAAGACGCTGTTACCTGGTAAGAAGAAAACATAAAATGAGAAGGCCCTATTTACTGGGGCTGTCATGAAGGTGATGAGCACTGGGCAGCCGAGCAAGAGCCAAGAGCAACACCCCGCATTAAAGACCACACCCTGTAAAGTGTTCCCTGTCGCACCACTGGCTTATTCACAAATTCGCAAGCGTTTTATCATCAGTGGCCATGACAGTAATAAAATGTATTTCCTGAGATAGAAGCTGGACACGATTGAAGTACTAGGGGCAATAAAGATAAAGTGTCGTGACTCTTTCAAGGATTTCACCTAAGAAATAGTCAAGGATGGCTACAAAGATTTACCTCCTAAATCACTGTAAGACTGTGTACATGCTAAGTTGCTTCAGTCATGTCCAACTCTTTGTGACCCTATGGACTGTAGCCTGTCAAGCTCTCCTGTCCATGGGATTCTCCAGGCAAGAATACTGGAGTGGATTGCCATGCCCTCCTTCAGGGGATCGAATCCCGACCCAGGGATCAAACCTGTGTTTCTTACGTCTCCTGCATTGGCAGGTGGGTTCTTTACCAGTAGCACCACTTGGTAAGCCCCATAAAATTATATGTAAAATAAGCAAAAAAAAAAAGGAAACTATAAGGCACCAACAATAGACTAGCCAAACAAAACAATGAGACATTTGACTATGAGTGCTCTAATTTATATGCAATTATTAATTTAATTATTGTATATGTAAAGACTTTGAAATTTTATTGCAGAAAAAACACTTAACATGAGACTTGCCCCATTAACAGATTTTTAAGTGTACAATACAATATTAACTATAAGCACAATATTGTACTTTGACTCTCTAGAATTCACTCATCTTGTCCATCTTGAAACTATACCCACTGAACTTCTGTAAAATCATTTTAATAATAAAAATTATCTTCAAAATAAAACAGTGAGATTTAATTTATCAAGTGTAAAACTGCTTGCTAAGTTTGTAAGCACATTGTGTGGATTTATGGAGATATGTGGATGTCTATCTGCTTTCACAGAAGCATGAATCTATCTTATTGGCTCAAAGGCTCAAGGTACAAAATGAGAACTTCCTCCTATTGGTCATACCTTGATTTTCAACACTTCATTCTCTTTATTCATTTCTAAGAGCTGCAGGTCTTTCCCTTTTATCCTTTCCATGAGCAGACCCAAACTGCCACAAGAGGGATCCACTGCAGAGTCAGAGCCGTTTTGAATGTTTCCACAGTGCTGAAATGAACAAGCAAGAAAATCACACACCTGACTTTTCTTTCACTCTACTAACTCTGATAACAATAATTATCGCTCAGTATTACTTAGGTCAACGGAGTAGGAAATGGCAACCCACCCCAGTATTCTTGCCTGGAAAATCCCATGGGCAGAATCGTCTGGTGGGCTACTGACCATGGGGTCACAGAGAGTCAGATGCCTCTGAGAACAGCACAGCACATTACATATATCAAGGAAGATTCAGGTCGACACAAATAAATCTTTTGACTCTAAAATGTCAGTGAGAAATTCTAGATGAATCAGCTGGCCTTTATATTTGCACAAATTTGAATAGATTGTTATACTGAAAGGAAAGAAGTACATCTTTCACGCCTTTTACATCCTTTACAGTTTCACATATACTATTAAGACCTTTGAGGAGATAGATGATATCCACAAAGCCAGTTGGCTTGTTTTTTTATATCTCTGTTGTTTGCTGACCTTCTGTGGTTTGAGATGCCTGAGGCAGACCCACTGGAAACACAGTTCATCTACATCCCCAAGAAGCTATTCCTATTAAGAACAGCTCCAACAACCTCCCTATTGTTCTAGCCAATGGTTGACACTGGAGTGGGTTCCCTTTCCTCCTCCAGGGGATCTTCCCGACCCAGGGATTGAACAGGCATCTCTTGGGTCTCCTGCATTGGCTGGCAGATTCTTTACCACTGAACCACCTAGGAAGCCCCAGGGGTGGATAACCAACCCTCCTCGCTTTCTGAAACCCGTTTTTGCCCATCGCCAATGGCTGCATTCTCTCCCACCTTTCCTCTTAATTCACTAGTTTAACTTCTCCCCTCCTGTGATGATTCCTCCTCGGCTTCTTCTCCCCAGTATCTAAATATTGGAGATCTCAGGACTCCGTGCTTAGGTTTCTCTCATTTCTATCCACACTCATGTGTTTGGTCATTTCCTCCAGTTTCAGAACTTTAAATACCATCCTTACTCCCTAAATCTCTATCCCATAGTCTGAGCCTTCTAGCACAGACCTCTGCCCTTAACTCCAGAATCAGCTATCCAGCCATCCATTAGACCCTTCACTTGGAAGTCTACAAAGCAACTCAGCATAGTCAGAACTGAATGTTTGACCTTCCCTGTCATTCACAACAGTAATCATTTTGCCAGTTTTAGAGAACTTAAGAAAATAATTGGAGCTAGTTGTGTTAGTTTGAGAGATAAGGATGATAAAGACTATGTTTATGCATCATCGTATGGTACTTTCTAGTATTTTCTGTGGCCATGCTACAGAGCAGGTGACACTGTCATTCATGAGGTACACGCGGTTCAGGTGAGGTTTAATCTGGCATAACCCAGACAAGGGTAAGTGCAGAGTGCTTAAAATTATGAATAAAAGGCTGGTCATGGGGGAAGGAGAGCATTTAAATTTTATCGACTATCTGGTCACTCAGGCTAATGGCTCCAAATGGGTGTCAACTAGTGTGACCCAGGCGAATCTAAAAGTCTATACCTTTGTCTATCACTGTAACATGTTGTTTCCACTCATCCTGACTGGTCCAACGTCTTCCCATACACTTTAGATGAGTAAGTCAAGTTTAAAATATTCAAGTAAGATCTGGCCACTCCAGTCTGATCCTACTAATGACATCTGTGGTTAAATATTTCATACATACGCTCATTAACATCTTTAGATACCAACAAAAGATTTAATACTTGACATAAAAAAAATTTAATAATATCAGAAGTTATTTAAATGAAGTCTATATGGCTTTATGTTCACTTACTGAAGGAATAAAAGTGGTACATTTTGATAAATTCATTACCTTTGCATCTAGTTTGTGATTTGTGCTGCTATGTCTTACTTCATCTCTAAATATTTGATTTCGGATCTTTTCCAGAGTCGTTCGAATCTAAAAGGAAAAAAGAAATGATTTTTTTCAAAGGCATTAATCCCCAAAACTTCCTTTTCTATACCAGTTACAGGGTACTGAATTTATCTGAAAGTAGTAGAGTTGGACACGACTGAAGTGACTTAGCAGCAGCAGCAGTAGTATACATATATACCAATATCATATTTAAACAACTGCCATCAACTTAACTTACACTTATGCTAATATTGTTTAGATTGCAGAAAATGAGCATTTTTGTCTTTAAAACTGTTCCTTAGGCAAACCTAAAATATAACCCAAATAAATGTTATACCACAAAGTAATTGCTATTTAGTAATTAGTGTTTTAAACTATTTAGTTCTATTTTTTTATATAGCAATTTCCTACTAATTTGCTATTTGGTAATAACTATAAAACAATTACTATTGGTAATCACTACAAAATAATTACTATTCAGTAATTACTAAAAAATAATTACTATCCAATAATTACTACAAAATAATTACTATCTAGTAATTACTAGAGAATAACTGCTACTTAGCAATTACTAGAGAATAATTACTCAGAGGAGATGGCATAAATTTATGCATGAAATATAAGCTTCATGTCTTGGTGATCTATGGAACTGCAAGACACTCAAAGATGAATTACTTGACCTGAATAAGTTACAAACTAGCTATGTCCAAATTCTTCCATCTGTTCTAAAACACACTTTATGAGAATACATACTTTTGTCAGCTATTATTACTGGATTCTGGTTAAGATTTCACATTGTTAATCATGTGCAACATGTCGTCATTGGCGATAGTTAACTCTGAACTGCTTAACAAGGTGTTCCTTGTTAGGTAAGGAGAGACAGGAACTTAGCAGGAAAGGTAAACATCTATCTAGTTGGCAGCAAAGTCTCCATACTTATGAAAGACCTAAGAAATGACATGACACGTTAGGATAGGACTTCCTTGGTGGTGCATTGGATGAGAATCCACCTGCCAATGCAGGGGACACGGGTTTGATCCCTGATCCGGGCAGATTCCACATTCCGCAGAGCAACTAAGTCCGTGCTCCACCGCTGCTGAGCCTGAGCTCTAGAGCCCACGGGCCACAGCTACTGAGCCCGCAACCACTGCAGACCCAGCGCCCCAGGGCCTGTGCTCCGCAAGCGAAGAAGCCAGCACACGGGGAAGCCCGCACACCACAGTGAAGAGCAGCGCCCGCTTGCCCCGCATCTAGGGAAAGTCCACGCACAGCAATGGAGACCCAGAGCAGCCAAAACAACCAACAACCTCAACGACGAAAACCCCAGGAGGGAGCAGGGCTGCAGAGGGGACAAATTCAGCGCTGACGGTGTTCCAAATCCTCGGTCCTTTACTCAGTTTTGTTCCAAGTGAAGAACAGGCTCATACCCTCAGGAGAAAGGGTTACATACGCAAGAGAAATGCACCCATGTTTGCACGTCAGCTATTAAGGCTGTCCTTTGCCAAACTAGGCTTGTTCTTCCTCACATATTCTAGGGAGGGAGAAACAAAGCCCGCTAATTTGCAGCAGACTTTATTGTAAAACTCATGCCGTGCTAACATGATCTCCAGCGCCCACATACCTTTCTCACGTATTCGGTTTCTTCAATAATGTGAGCAGATGGAGACTCGTACAAGGCAGAAGCATCTTCCGTCTTCCCCTTCTGCGGAACTGTCCCGGTCACTGTTACTGCTGCCATTGTGACATCCAGCTTTAGGAACACGTCAATCAGTTGGACCAAACTAATTCCTTTGATGTTATAATTATGTGGTTGTAAACTGAATGGAGTTCTGTACGGGCACTGTAATCAAATACATTAATACTAGAAAATATTATAAATGATTGAAATCTGCATGTCTCTAAGAGCCAAGAATTAACTTAATATTAAAACACCACCAGTTGAAACAATCATTGATTAGAAATTCAAAAATTAAACTGAGATGGAAAAATATGGGCTTTTCCCTTTTATTCCATATTAATTAGACTATAACACCTCAAGAGTAGAGACTATGCCTTATTCATATTCATATTCTAGCACATTGTAAGTGCTTAATAAATGTCTATGGAGCTAAAATAAGATAAAATTATATGTATATAAAAATGCACACACACACACATACATATAACCTACAATAAGGGCTTCCCAGATGATACTAGTGCAAAGAATCCACCTGCCAGGAGACTCAAGAGACCTGGATTCAATCCCCGGGCCAGGGAAGTTGCCCTGAAGAAAGAAATGGCAACTCACTCCAGTATCCTGTCCTGGGAAATCCTATGGACAGAGGAACCTGGCGGGCTACAGTCCATGGGGTCCCAGAGTCGGACATGACTGAGAACACAGGACATATATAACTTACAAACATGTATGTATATCATTTTATACTTCACAGAGACCTTTAATATACTGCATTTTATTTAACTCTCAAAAGCCTGTAAAGGCCATTTACCAAAGAACTATTTATAATAAGAAAATATTGAGAAAAGTGCAAATGCCCACAAAAAGAGGACTGACTAAATGAACTACCTACATCTTCTCTAGGATATATTTACTCAGTGAAAACGCATGGGGCAGAAAAGGATACATTGCATCATAATTTCTCTAAGAAAGGTGAGAAGGATGGAAGGAGAAAATCTGTGATTTATAGTTTTGACACTCAACAGTGTAATTATTTTACCTAATTATAAAATATAACTAAATTGAAAGGAAAAATATCTTCCAGAATAAAAACCAAGAAACGAATACATTTGCCTACCAAATTGGCAGCATATCCACATGAGCTATTTGAAATGACACACACGTGTTCACTCAGTCGCGTCCGACTCTTTGCGACCCCGTGGACTGTAGCCCACCCGCCTCCTCCGTCCATGGGATTTCCCAGGCAAGAATACTGGAGTGGGTTGCCATTTCCTACTCCAGGGGATCTTCCCGACCCAGGGATCGAACCCAAGTCTCTGGCATCTCTTGCATTGGCAGGTAGATTCTTTACCACTGAGTCACCTGAGAATCCTGGAACTGATTTTCCCAGGTGCCCTTATGTCCTGAGAACAAAAAGAATCACAAAGCAACCTTAAACTGTACTCACTAATAATATTGTTAGTGGAAACATTGCTATTGCTATTTTGAAACTATGATGTGTGTGTGCATGCATGCATGTGGGTCACCCACATGACAGAAAACATAGAATGAAGTCACTGTCTAAATGTCTTAAGAGCCAAGATTTTTAGCATAAAAGAAAAAATCCTAAATTAGAACCAAAAATTTTCTGTAAAAAATCTTATAATCCAAACTGAAGCCATGAGTATAAAATATTTATCTTCATTTTAAAATGTATATTCCAAGTCTACCCACTGAAAATTTAGAAATAGAAGCAATTAACACTCCCAGTGTTCAGATTGTGGTATTAGTACACCATTTTCTATGAATATGAAAATGTAACCAGGGCTTCTTGACTGATTTAGATCCGAGGCAAGAAGTGCAGAAGGTGAGACTGAGATATCTTGTCGTATCAGAAAGCGGAAAAGTGATCAACTACTACTTGCATAAGACACAAACAGCCAACCCAAAGAGGAATGACTGTGACTGAGTAAAACACATCAAAATTTTTTTAATTCTTGAAATTATGTTGACAAGGGAAAAACCTCCACTTTCACCAACAATCCTTAAACTCATCAGAGACAGGCTACCATTATACTAAAAACTAGCCCAGAAAAGAGGGCAAGAGGGAATGCAAACAGACATTTATTTTGCCTTTATGATATGAATTTACCCTATATCTCTTGGTAACCATATAGTTGATTATGAAAATTGTACTAAAGAATTCTTGCCAATAAATCCAAAAGGACTGATAGAATTAGAAAATCTAATTTTTGCAACCCCTTATGAAGTGATAGATGCTAAGCAACAGTCATCAACCAGTGCTAAAAACACTAGGCAAGAGGTTGATGAAGAATGCATCCACCCTGGGGACTCCACTCATCAATCGTAACAGAAAAGTGGAAAAGAGGCAACCAGACATCTTGTTCTCTAAATGTGGTACAGTCATGAGTAGAAGCACCACCTGTGAAGCCCCTCTATCTACCAATGGGAAATATCTGAAAAAGAAGGAACCATTCTCTATATCTCTTGGTAACCATATAGTTGATTATGAAAATTGTACTAAAGAATTCTTGCCAATAAATCCAAAAGGACTGATAGAATTAGAAAATCTACTTTTTGCAACCCCTTATGAAGTGATAGATGCTAAGCAACAGTCATCAACCAGTGCTAAAAACACTAGGCAAGAGGTTGATAAAGAATGCATCCACCCCAGGGACTCCACTCATCAATCGTAACAGAAAAGTGGAAAAGAGGCAACCAGACATCATGTTCTCTAAATGTGGTACAGTCATGAGTAGAAGCACCACCTGTGAAGCCCCTCTATCTACCAATGGGAAATATCTGAAAAAGAAGAAACCATTCAATGACTCTACAAGGGTGAAGAAACAGCCAAGTTCAGATCACATAAAATTCTACAGGACAAATAATTATTCCTTCCACAAAATAATTATATGAAGAAAGATGAGAAGAGAAATTGTCATAAATTTTGAGTCTTAAATAACATATGACTAGATACAATATATGAATCTTTGTGCAAGTTTGTGCATGCTCAGTTACTCAGACATGTTTAATTCTTGGTGACCCCGTGGACTGCAGCCTGCGAGGCTCCCCTCTCCAGGGGATTTCCCAGGCAGGAGTACTAGAGTGAGTCATCATTTCTACTCCAAGGGATCTTTCCGACTCAGGGATCCAAGCCACGAATTTGGCGTCTCCTGCATTGGCAGGTGGATTCTTTACCACAGAGCCACCTAGGAAGCCCTGGGTCTTCTTCGACTCCTGATTAAAATAAACCAGTTATATAGACATTTTTTAAAAAAAACTAGGGGAATTTTAACACTGACTGGATAACAGATGCTGTTAAAGAATTAACGCAATTTTGCAAAGCATTATTTGCAATTATTGTCATTTTAGGTGTGATAATGGAATTATGATATTCCTTTAAAAGATCTTATCTGTTGGGCATACATACTGAAATATTTGAAGGTGAAATAATATTACACTTGGAATTGTAAAGAGAATATTTTACTCTAGTATTTAAAGAGAGGGAAAAATGGGGTGAGATAAAGATGAAAGAAGTTTGATAAAATGCAGTGAATTGTACAGTGGAATTCTCTATAGTTCTCTACCATTTTGCTTCTGTTTGAAATTTTTATAATTAATAGTAAAGAGCTTAAAAAAAGATAAAAGGCCAGTGAGGTAGTATTATTAATTTCATATTACTAATAAAGAAGTTAAGATTCTTATAGGTGATATTAATTTACCCAAGATCACAGTAAAACTAACAGAGCTGAAATTCAAGCCTTTGTCTTTTGGACACCAAGATCAAGAGTCTTTCTATCACATTGAGGCCAGATTCCCTGGTGAGAAAAAAATTAAAATTTAGCAATGACCCATGCTGTTAAAACCCACAAAGAATGTTCATATTTGCTAGCATCAATTTAGAACTAAATAGCTTCTGTGGATGATTCAAAGTCCTGCATTTATCCTTTAATCTTCAATGAAATTAACAGAGTATGCCAAGAATTTTCCATTTTATGTTAAATCCTCTTAGACAGCCACTGTGGCTTCTATTTGTTTCAGGCTAACTTGATTTGGCTGTAGCAGCTCTGCAAAATCTGCCTTTTTATTTTTTTGCAGAATCTGAGCAGAACTGCGTCTGTCATTTGGTCCTCTGAAGTCTCTTCTGGGATTAAGTTCTTAGCCTAAAACAACATTTAAATGGTGGAAGTAAAAGAAATGCTCATAGGGACAATAGACAATGTGTCTGGGAATGAGAGAGGAGTGGTCAGGCTGGCGTGGTGGTCGTCAATTCACGGCCAGGATCCCAGTCTGCCTTCCCACCTGTTAGGACAGTCTATGAATGGTCCTGACATCTTTTAATGGTTCCAAAAAAATCAAAAGAAAAGTAACATTTCATGACACATGAAAATTATATGAAGTTCAAATTTAGTGTCCATAGACGAAGCTGTAGTCTAAAATAACCATGGGTAAGCATTTAGGTGTTGTCACGCTGCTTTCACTATAACAGCTCTGCTGAGTAGACTGGAGACAGAAAATACATGGAAAACAATGTCTAAGATATTTACTATCTGTTTGGTCCTTTACAGGGAAATGTTTGCCCTCCCGAGGGGTAAAGAATGGCAGCAGATGGGAGCAGAAGGAGGAACATAGCGGCAGACAAAGAGTTTTTTATGTTGTTTTTCTTCAGTTTGGTCTCTCTTGTTCTATGGTCCCATAGATTTCCCTTCTCCTTTCTTTTCAGTGGGTTATACACTGTGAACATGACCAAATGATAAGGGACATTACATCATAGGAATTAATCACTCTTTAGAATGAAGCTCACTACATTCTGTTTTTCATAATTTGAAAATCACATCGGGCCTCTCTTTATATATCTTAAAATATATTCTCTTACATGCCTTTTATTCTTAATATCAAAAAAATTCTTCTCCACAAATGAACTTATTTATAACTTCACACAGCACACATAAAATAGAAATAAACTCATGGACATAGAAAACAAACCTGTGCTTACAAAAAGAGACAGTTGTGGGGATGGGGGCGGGGAAGTAGATAAATTCGGAGTTTGGGATCAGCATACACACACTCCTGGGGTGTCCCTGGTGGCGCAGAGGGTAAAGCGTCTGCCTGCAATGCGGAAGACCTGGGTTCGATCCTGGGTCGGGAAGATCCCCTGGAGAAGG